AATCTACTCTACCTGAGGATTTTTCCCCATAAGTTTCATCTTTCCTGGCACAGTGGTTCTTGAGAAGAAGATTTTTAAAATATACCACTAAATTTTCATTAATTCCCAATTATCTCCCCTTGAATAAGGGTGTGGCCCTTCATTTGAACAAACTTGAATCCCCTTCACCCAAGGATACTTTGTGGCAAGTTTGGTTGAAACTGGCCCAGCGGTTCTTGAGAAGAAGTCGAAAATGTGAAACGTTTACAGACAGACAGACAGACAGACGGACAGATGGACGCCGGACAAAATGTGATCAGAACCTAAAAATTGGTCATTCATCCAGAAAATGTGGGTCAAATCTAGCAAAAATCAAAAACGTCAACCTAGTAGGCTAGTACCTCATCTATCAAATCAGTACATCCCTTACAACAAATTTAACATCTGAAGTAAGTCTGGCAATGTACATACCTTGATGCATCATCCACTCAAGTTTGGTCTAGTAGGGCTTGAATTTACACTGGAATAAATCTATGTCAAAAAATTTAATGTAGTCAAGCACCTGGAAAATGTAGTTCAAATCCGGCATCCAAAGTAAGACTGATAGGGTGCATCCCTACACTCAAAATTTCATCCAAGATTGCTCCAGATAGGGCTTGAAGCTATATTGACTGAGTTTGGTTCAAAAACTTTAACTTATCTTAAAAATGTAGGTCAAATCCAGCTTCTGAACCAACTCTGGAAGTAGCCATTCCCTTGTTGAATCCATGAAAGTTTGATTATAGTACACCTTATAGTTTCTTTGTTATGGTACCTGCTCAAACATGTTTAACCTTTAAGACTGTAACACTCATCCTGAAAATGGAGGTCAAATCCAACATCTGAAGTAAGTTTGATTGTGTGAATCCTTACATTAGCATTCAAGCAAGTTTAGTCAACATTAGAGCTCACAGTTTCTCAGAAATAAGATACATGTATGCTCCAAAAACTTGAACCTGCTCCAAACCATTAAATGGTCATTCTTAGGCTGAAAATGCAGCATCTGAAACCTGACTGGTACAGTGAAACACATAAGAAGTATCATCCAAGCATCTCTGATTAATATAGGACATAGAAATACTTGAAAGGAAATTTTCTCCAAAAACTTTTATCTGGGACTCGGACATCAAAACCAAAGGTATTTCATATAGGCTCTCAAACTTCCTTTAGGTGAGCTTAATATGTGTAGAAAATAGGAATTCTATTGCAGTTACTTTAACACTTATATTGGAGCCATGGCATACATAATCATAGAATTTCATCATATGTATTTCCTGCATTGCAAATTCTGACAAACTCAACAGCACCATAAGGTAAGCACAGAGTAAAAAAATTAAGGGAAAGAAAAACAATCTACTGTCTACTTATCATTGTTAACTTCCCTGTCAAAATCATGTCTTTTATTTATAGCCTTAATCAAATAGAAGCATGCAAAGGTAAGACACATGTTTGATTATCTTTTCTGGAGATTGTATCAAAATCCGTGGTCAATCAATGCAACCACTTCTTGGGACTCGGAGACTACATGTATAGCATCAGTCTCTTTAACTGGTATGCAAAGGCATCCAGAGAAGGAGTAAAGCAACATTTTTGTCTTGGATCAGACAAAATCTATGCAAAAATTCTAATAAAAAAATTATCACTGTAATTGATTTTGTATCTAATATTGACTCCTTGCTTTTGTAAGAAAATAAAATATGAACAAGTATTTCTGCTTAGCTGTGTCCTTAAATAAACATTGTGATTCATAAATAGGTATGAACAGTTGCAATTAATTGAAAGTTTTCTTTTAAAATTGGCAAAATTTATCACTGTCCAAATAGGAATAGTCATGCCTAGCCCTATCTGCATCAAAAACATAAAAACTTATTCACCATTCCTAAACAATCCTAAGTTTCACATCTTCGATAGTATTCAAAACAAATTTATTTCATATTTGTCAGACGTTCTAAATCAATTTGTGGAAGCTCATCAACAGTAAAGGACTGCAGCCATTTCCCCCATCTCTGTCTAATGATTTAATTCCTATTATAAGAAATCAATGCCCCCCTCCATGGTAAAGATCATGGAACAACAAAGCCGAGTGACGCAAAAATTGGCGAAAAAACTTCGCTACCAAATACATTACCAGACAAGACCAACGGCACATTTGATTTTATCACTGTAACCAATCCTAGTCCTCAGGGTGTTTGAAAATCCGACAAACATTACATATTTTGTGATTTTTCATTACCATATCAACGAAAGTATTCGTCTATCTGTAGGCGGCCAATTAAGGGTTGATTGGGCTATTACTAATATTTTATGACAATTCTACATCCACTGATAATTTTGAAAAAAGCATTCTGACATTTCAGTTAGGACATCTTTATAGTTCATCAGCACACGTCTATATCCATATTATCTTCTAGCAAACGAGGACTAGACATTCATTAAAGGGCTTCTGTGGAAATTGACCTGGATATAATTCAAATATTACATAAAATGAATGACTAATGAACCTAATTAAATTCTTTGAAGTAATCATTACAAAGACTGAAGTCATGTCAATCTTTTTTAAATTTCTTTTTTTTTTGAATTATGCAGTTATATCTTGTATTGAATAAAATCTCTTTTTCAAAAAGTCATAGTACAGTCAAACTTGTATTTAGTGACCTCCCAGGGAAAAATTTGAAAATATTCTCATCATATGGCAGGTGCTCACATAATACATGTATTACTGGGTAATGATGAGATCTAAACCTTATGAAAGAAATGAAAAAAAAGTGTGAATTAATTAAGAGCTCCACCAGGTTCTGAGAAGCTTAACATGGAATTGTATGAATTTGGTTCTAGTATTATAGGTTTCTATATTAATAATCCAAATTATGTTTAGAGTAATAACCAAAATATAATCACTAAGTATGACACAAAATTAGCCATAATATGCAGGTTTTAAGAAAGCTAAATTATATAGCATCTAGTTTATACACAGTTGGTATATTCTTATTTAGCACTGTTTTTAAACATTTTTAATTACTTTACTATCAGAGTACAATATAACCTTGCTATCTTGAACATGACTGAACCAAAATATACTGTTTAACTTTGAAATATCTGGATTTGAGATTATGAGTTTGATTAAAGAAAAAATGTCGAGTGATGACTTACTTTGATATATCCCTTGTATTCAAAATATTGGTGATTAAGATAATGGAATACGCCAGTTTCGAGATTGTAACTCTCCTACGAAAGAGGCGCAGAAAGTATCCATTTCGGCAGGGAGGTGGGACAGGTTGTTTCTGTGTACAAACGTGCATAAGTAAATGAACGATATTTATGGCTTTTAATATTTATTAAATGTTATAAAAAGATAATGATATTAAGCAGTGATGCATTTGATGATTTTATCAAGTTCAACTATGCATATTTACAAATCTCCTTTTAATTATAGGTACTTGAAAACGAAAGAAACGTCATAGTCTTAATAAAAAGTAACCGATTTTCTTGATCGTTCGACCTTTTTTAAAAAAAAGTTAGTGGGTTTTTTTTAAATTATAATAAGGAAAAGAATCAATGTGTCATTTAGATCGCCTACGTACAATGATCAGATGCATGTGTACCGTTTTTATTAGAGGTCCTAATTTCTTCCCTCGTCTGAAAAGTCTCACATCCACCGACATTTTCTTTTATGTTACGATTTTTTAACTTTAAAAAATGACTTCTTTAAATTAATTCGGTTATTTTCGAAATGTAGAGTGCATCCTGACAATCATGTAGTTATGATAAACCAGTATATCGATGATACAATATATCCAATATATAAATATAGAATATTTGTCCCACCTGTTTGTTTATGCGGCAACGAAACTCCCCTCCTTAACGAAAGAGCGCACCAAGGGAGATAATCTCGAAACTTGCGTATTCAACTGTACAATGTACAGGGCACCTCTCTATTCTACCTTTAGTAAATTATAAGAATTTGGGGCACCTTCCTACCATTCTTATGACATATTTAACTGTTTCAAAAGTATAAAATATTTTAAACTTAATTAAATGATATACAGTCAAACCTCCTTATCTCAAAGTTCATGTAAACAAGAGATATCCAAGCATTTGAGATATACTGTAGAAGCACAAATTTTCGTGGGGATAAAATTTTGTTGACTTGTCATCAAAAATAATTTTGCTGGCATTTAATTTCATTGTTTTGAAAGTAACCTTATTCAACATATAGTCATATAAAATTTTGCTTGGGATTTAATTTCGTTGATAATTGTTAACAATGAAATAAATGAAATATAATCCCCCACGAATATTTGTGCTTTAACAGTAATACTGAAGGTACAAGTGATTAACACTTCCAATTAACTTTGACAAATCCATGGTATTCAAGATAACAGCTAGTGTTCAAGACACCAAAGTTTAACTATATAATGAAAAAATCAACATTCATAAAATATTGGTATCTTAATTATCTAAGTTTATTATCAATTAGAGTAATTTTATTTAATTGTAGGGCAAGCATTAGCTGGCGAATTTTAAATATTTTCAGCATAAATATTCTATTGATTGGGCTTTGTAAATCTTGGTGGGTTCCTATTTCCATTTCAATATCAAATTTTGACAAAGCTAATTTCAGATCAGATCTGCCTATTCAAATCTGCATTTAATTTTTTTAACAGAATACCACTACATTTGAATTAAAATGTTTTCATCAAAACATCCCTATATTTCATGTAGAAATAATTCAGTTGAAATTGATTTCCTAAAAATCTTAAGATTTATTCAGTTAATTTCATCAGAGCCTGAAAACACAATAAAATTCCAAATAAAACTGTCAAGTTCTGTAAAAAATCTCTTATTCCCAGCAATTACTCCAGAATCAATTTCAGCAGTGTTCCCCAATAATCATTTTCTGTAACAGTTTTAAGTCAATACGAATACTATTCATTTCATGCATTAATTGACACTATTTATAACTGAACAATATCTATACTCACAGTAGGTGCAGTCCAGCAGTTCCTTCAATTCTGTAGAGTCCAATTTACTCTGCTGCTTCCCCATAGTCCATTTAAGGTCACTTCCAAAGGATCAAGAAGTAATACCTTGTGTAGAATTTTTCACTTCAGCTGTCCTCCCCAAAGCTGCGGTGGCATCTCGCAGCACCTTTAAGAACAGAAGAATTTGATACACCTTATTGACTGCAAGGTACCCGAAGAGCAAAAAAGCAGAGAGTTGCTCCCATTCAAAAAATGTGTTTTAAAAGGTGGTTCTGATCAGTGTTTATGGGGTTGTGTATTGAACTGAGCTAGATCAATAATTCATAGTTGTTGAAATCTCCATCTACTTATGGCTGTAATTCAGTGCCATTCCAAGAGACATCCCCTCTTGCTTTCAATACTTAAACTATGCAGACAGAAATAATTTCCATGGTTTTATACTCATTTGGATCAATACGCAGTGACACTCATAAACAATGCAATGAAAGCTAGTTTTTCTATTGATACGAAACATAATTCACATTTACGTTACAAGCTTTTCTCTAAAACCATTTAAAACATGAATGTGGAATGATGCAATTTGTAAATGGCTGGTCCCTGTCTGTCTCTGAATAAGCCCCGCTGATCCTTTCAATATTGGTCCATTCTATCCTACAATATATTTATATATACAGTCATTAAATCTATATACTCCATACAAAAGTCAAAAAATATCTAATAAACAAATGTCATTTCTTTTCCCAATTAAAGATTCCACATGTGCTACATGTATTGGCAAAACCTAGACTATCGGCTTGCTTCTTCTACAATATCATTATATTTTCATCAATATATCTACTTGCTTACCTTACCATTATTCACCCACATAACTGGTGTCAAATGTACACAGAGACATCAATACATTTAATAACATGACACAATCTGTTTGACGTTATTTATTAGCTTCTCATATAAAGGAAGTGTGATCTGCCTATTTTAGTCACACCTTTTAGATCTCGTTAACGGCTGAAATAAAATTTAGATCTTAGTATAGGTTCAAATTACAAATGTACCCTCCCACCACCCTTTCAGAAAAAAAAAATTTTAATCATATTATCTCTGGCAAATGCACATTATTAATGAAAATTTGTGTACAGTGTATGTTTTTTTTTTTCTGGTACCGGGTAATTAAGTTTATTTAATTCTTCCCTGGTTGAGAGCAAAGCATAAAACAAACATTTCAAAAGCAATTGACATTTTCTAAGATAAACAATTAAACAAATTGCATTGACTATTAAAGGTTACTTGCTTCAAATTAAAATCAATAGTACACACATCTAAATTATATACTGTACACATATTACATTTGGCTGTGTATTCTTTCTAGCGTTTTTTGCGGAAAGCAATATCCGCTAATTCAAGTACAACGTTATATGTCTCGCACATATATTTATAAAGAAGAACATAAAGATATGCGCTAAAACAAATCCACGCTAAGTTGTTCAAAATCCAATTTCCGCCAAACATCGTATATATAATACATTTACAGTAATCTTTTTTACATCTTCAAAATTCCATCAATAAATAATGGACATCATCTTATTCATAAGAAAATTTAAAAGTGAAATTTGTAATATGACCTACTGGTAGTTTGAAAAAAATACTCCATGAAAGAGAGCCATGGACCACAATGCTCACGTGAGCTACTTTGGTCCTACTGTTCTGCATTAGATTTTTTCCTCTAAATACAAGTACATGTATTCCTCTTGTGTTTTTCTATTGCCAAAGCATGTATTACATGAAGGTGTCAGAAAAAAAAGGATCTACACTACCAGAGGATCCTTCCAAATGATTCATCTGTCATGGATTTGCTCTTGAGGAGTTTTAAGATTTTACCCTATATAGTCCCTATTGTACCCCCACCCCCCAAACCTACAACCATGAGGCCATGATTTGAACAATTTATTATATTTACTATATCAGGAAGCTTCAACATAAGACTCAGCTTTTCTGGTCCATGGTTCTTTAGAAGGAATTTTTTTAAAGATCTCTCAAATGCATTTAAAAGTAAAATTTTCTACCCTCATGTGACCAAATGGGGCGGGGGCATGGTTCAAACCAAGGAAGTTTGTAAAAATTTTAAACTTCAACTTTCCAAGTCCAGTGGTTCTTAAGAAAAATCGACCCAACCCTATCTTCGACTCTCATTATCTCCCCTTGAAGTGAGGTTAATCTCTTGATTTTGACAATTTAAAATTCCCTTTACCCAGAGATGCCTAATACCAACTTTGGTTAGAATTGGCCAGCTGCTTCTTGAGATAAAGTTGAAAATGTAAAATGTTTACAGACAGAATGACAGACAGACATAGGGATGTTGGACAACAAGTGATCAGAAAAACTTAATGTCTTGAGCTAAAAAGTAAAAAATAAAATTAAAAAGTTAGGGTTTTATTACATTTAATTTGTTTCATGACACATTTTTTGATCATATAAAATTACTATCAATATTGGGAAATATTTGCAAAAAAAAAAGATTTTTTATCACTGATATAAGACATTTAAATTACTTTTTCAGATAGTTAATTTTTCATGATATGACATTTCTGCACTGAAATTTGTCTTAATTAAAAATTACATCTTCGACGTTTTCCCTTTAACTTTATCCAATTAGTTAAATGTTTAAAAAAAGACACTTAAAAAATAAAATGAATGCACTAATAAAATGGAAAATATAATAACAGTTACTTTTTTAAACAGGTAACCTAAAAAAAGACGGAATATATTTCTATATGACTATTATTTATTATATACATATCAAGAACATGTATGGTAAGGCCTTACAACAAACATGTATTGATAGCGCGCACGGAGCAATGTCAATACAAGTAAAGCCAAGTTTGGTCCGAGCAGGATTTATATACAGACAGTGTTTTTGGAATGGATCTGCTCCAAAATTTGTTATTCTGATCACTCATCCATAAAATGTACGTCAAATCCAGCATCTGAAGCATCCCTAAATCATATATGCAAATTTGATCAAAATAAGCATATAGTTACTTAAATTACAAGTAAATGCGCCTCCTCAATAAAACTAAACTTGGTTAACTATTCATGCAGATATATATTTCTCTCATCCAAACATAAGTTGGTTTACAGCAGGTAAATCACATAAATCAAACCCATATTGCTATTTGACAAATTGTCATATTAATGCATTTGTATGTGGGCCGGCTTCTAGACTTACAGTTTATCTTCAGTAAATGTCAGTATAATACAATTCCTCCTACCTTTCACTCATTTGATGAATGTGTCCTCTGGACCAAAGAATAGCTGATTATACAACAATGTTAACAGCATTGCTATCTGATTCTTCTCTCTCATAGAACAACACCTACATCAGAGTCTGGGGAGACAAGCACAAAATACTTCCATTAAGTGACCCTTGTTACTGCGTATAACAAACTCATCAACATCCTTACCCCTTCATCCATTCTGTCATGTAGGAAGGTCCATTCAGCAAGAAAGTTTACTTCTTGCTGTAAAAAAAAACAACATAAATGAAGATACACAAGTACGGTATACATAATTACATATTCCATATATAATTTAAACAAGCCACATACTTTATATATTGAAGTAAACAGGGAATAAAGATTCATGCATGAAACCAATCAATATTTTTAAAATATTTAAAATTATATCCTTTACAATAAATGTCATCAAAGTCAGGATCCCTGCATTACTTATAATTAAGTAAGTGCTTTAAAAATTAAGTCCATTTAGCCTAAACCACTGCAGTATAACGTTGTACATCTCCATTTGCAACACACAAAGTATGTCTAGTTGGTATACATGTATTTCTTTCTGTCAGAAACATATACAGCTGTTGTATTTTAAATGTTTTGACTCATCCAAGATATGAATGATTGCAAAAAAATGTTGTACAGTAGATGAAATAATTGAAATAAACTGATCTACATGTGTATAAGCAAACACTCACCAAAATTAAGCCATGGTTTTTATATGTCTCTGGCACATATCATACTTGATAAAAAATAATATAATCGATAATATATAATTATATGTAATATATAATTAGACACCCTCCTTTCAAAAAACATCTATGATATGTTAACAAGTATAAATGTTTTGTGACAATGAAAGGGAGATAACTTCCTTTGTGCCATGAATATTGATGCACGTCTTCATATTTTGTGCACGTTAATAAATAATCCCATTAAATATATACACAATAAGCTTTTCCCACTTTTTTTCAGTAGAAGGGCCAAAAGACGAAAAGTAAACAGACAATCAGGTATAATTTACCGTAATCAGAAAAGCTCACTTGCATCTTTACTTAGCTTCAGGTGAGCTAAAAAGCTAAAATCCTATGACATGCTAAAGTTGATCTGTAACTCAGTATCTTGAAGTTTAATTTAATAAATTGTTAATTTCTAAAAAACAGATTTAAAAAAAAAAAATTAGTCATGAACTGACCATAATATAATTCCTTTAAAACTTGCTTGAAATCTCACAAAATCTGAAATTCATTTGCATTTTTTTTTCAATGATGGAGGACTCCATTTTATACATTTATATATGTCAACACTCATCTTACTGAAACAAAAGTCTGTTGAATCTAATTTTTACTTAAAAGAATTTTTTGCTTCCAAATGCATAAAAAAAATAAAAACAATTTTTAGATAATTTATTTTAAATACAAAATATTTATCTGAACACAATTGGTGAATCATAAATGAGCAGTAACTAGCGTTATACACAATCATGCATACACAAAAAAAAAATTATCCTTAGAAACTTACTAACTTCCAGTTTTTTAAATTCTTGCATTCACTCTATTCTTATTAACCATCATCATTGAACAAATTCTTTAAAATCATAAGAATAATACTTAATGTACCCAAAATGTCAACGACAAAAAAGAAGACATTTATCAATTAGCCTGATTCTAAGAGCAAATTAATATTATTTCCCTGCAACTAGAAGTACCTGTGAAACAAATTACAATTGGAACAGTGATGCCACATCTGTTTAATAATTGACTCCAAAAGATATTAATTTGAACTTAAAAATTAATATGATTACATTCATGCATAAGTGCAAATCTTCTAAAGCACAAACTGTGATGATTATTAATTAATATCATATACATGTACAAATTAAAACACTTCATATACTTTTTATGTCATACAAGGAAACCAAGTATGTGTGATTATTAAAGTAGATAAATTAAATTTGTCAAGTTTCTAAATGATCTCTACAATATAATATGCCTAAATTATTAAACATGATCAGTAAATTACATATCAACAACTCTGACAAGAGTAACTTCTGTCAAAAGGTCACTTTCATTGTGTTTTTCACAAAATCAAAACAAGTTGCTCATAAATATCTATGAAACAGTTACATGAAGGGGAATCACATCTGAACTTTTTAAACAGAAAAATCAAATAAATTAGATCAATCATAATTTGTAAGATTTCAACAGCTGTTACTCAGCAACATACAATCATATTCCAATCAAAATACAACACAAGTAAAACGTTATTCTTGTGGTATGCACAAGTAGATCTATAGAAATTCAAAGTTCTACAGCTGTTTTAGGAAAGTTTCAGTTTTATTGAAAATAAAAGTTATGACACAGTGCCTTATTGATTTCAATAAATGTCAGACAAAGTTTTAAATCATTATTATAATCATCACAAAGTTCAAATGAAAGCACTTCAAACTACACATTTCAATGAAACTCACATGCTGGCAATAATGAAAACAACAAATTCTGAATAGAACTTTTATGTACATGGAACAACGTAGCTCTAGTGCATCATATCATGTACATGAACTGATTTAACACTGGTATCAACATAACCAAAACTTTATTTCAAATAATGCAAAAACTCTCAAAAATTTCACAAGTAAACGTCCATGATTCTTAATTTACAAGTACACATTCATGATTGTTCTGATTTTCTCCCTACATAACGGACATATTCTCCTCGTCAGAGGCCTTGCCCTGGCAATTCTGTTCCCACATTCAATACACAGACACATATGCCTACAGGGTAAAATGAGCACCGATTTTTTATTGTCTTGACAAACTACACACATCTGTCTCTCCCGCTCTCGTTCAATCTCTTTCTCCATGTCTTGAGTCGATTTCTTTTTCTGTCTATTAGGGGTGGCAGATCTCCTTAGGTTGTATTGAGACTCCACGGGGAGCTGAATATCGATAGGCTCGATCGAATTGTCACTGTCATTGGACGAACGGTCATCATCGCTCTCATCAACAACTGACAACTCTGAGGCCTCATCAGAGAATTCATCACCATCATCTGAAAGATCATCATCTTCATCATCATCATCAGATGTGAGAGTGCTGTCTGTGTCAGAATTGTTGTTATCATTGGTTTCTTCATCAGCACTCATTCCAAATTCATCATCAGAAAACTCGTTTCCAAATCTTGGATACGGAACATTGTTATGGTTCATATGATTTGGGTAAGGAAATGTGTAGCCTCGACTGTACAGTTTGCTCACAGCATGCACTAGGCCAATGTAAAACAAAACAATTATCAAAATGCCCATGTATGTTTCTCTTGGTGTGTTTGGGAAAATATCAGTCAGTGCATAATAAACATAGTCCACTACATATTTTACTGAATCCGCAAAGTATATCATAGCATTGTCCACCAATGAAGCAGCACCAAAGAATATCCATGTGATAAAATTGTAGGCACCAACAATAAAGTTCAATGAATATGTTCCAAAGAAATATAATGCACTTGAAACATTCTTGAGGAAAAAAGTGAAAAATGCCTCCAAATAGTCAAAAATTGATACAGCTATCACTTTGACATTTTCCAAGGATGACGACAGGGCTCCAGCTGTCCATTTTCCACCATTCCATATAAAATAAACCACTTGTTCTAAACCTTTAAACACAAGATCCAGAACACTAAAGAGTAACATAACAAACTTCCATAGTAACTGGAGAAATGCTCTCACAAAATTGAAACACTCTGTTAAAAAGTCAATTAAAGCTTCGAGGATGGTACAAACTACATTAAACGTTACATTCATGCATTTTACAAATAAACAAATCACTTCAGACAGGAAGGCTATGAAACCAGAAATAACATCATAGTTTAGCTTGATGACAGACGCCGTGTAATGTTGTATGTTTCTAAACACAAAGCAAAGAGTTGAGTAAGTCGACTGAATAAAATTTTCCATATTTCACACATTCATAATCTTAAGAGTTAAAACATTTCCTTATTTAGTATTTCTACCACACATAGCTTCACTGCTTGCCACTCTGAAAGTCTCAACCTTTCATCTTTTTCGTACAGTATTTGGTTTTTTTTTTTAAAGAACGAAAAAATAAGATGTTGAAAATAAAATATAAATTTATCATTTTAATTAAGTTTTGGGGCAATAAATGCAATCTGAGTAATTTGACGCCATATAACACCTAAAATTAATCCTTCTTATAAAAAATTATTATTTTCGTTTAAAATAAAATAATCTTAGTTCCACGTGTTCTCGGGATGTTTGTCTCGAATAACAAGGAAAACTTCAAAAGGTTCCGAATGTCACAAAAGTGAAAGTAGATTTGTTTTGCATACTTTCAAACTTTTAACTTTTTTAGTGGAAAAGGTAGACTTTTGAAGAATATGCAAAATGTTTCTCTTTCTTTTCTTCGTGGGATCGGTTACTTTGGCATTAATGATGACACCTACCGTAGGAATAATAACCACTGACAATCTTTTCATTGACTTCATGGTTTCAGTGCTAAGAGTGATGGGACATACTCTTTATATTATGATTGGATATGTGTTTGAATTGTCAAATCATATCGTTTCCATATGCATTACGTGCCTACCATTCGTGTGGAAGGTGGTGATGATAGTGGCATCGTTTGTACTTTGGGTAGTGAAACAAGTTTTAAAAGGAGTACTAGGTACTGGGGATGTCTTCCTCGCAGCAGTGAGCTGGGTATTCTGTTTGTGTTTATTTTGTTTATGCCTCTTATGGTCAGAGAGTCTCTTCAAAAGTGTCAACTCCAATGAAGTGGATGACAACAACCGAAATATGATTCAAGAAGTGAATAGGAGGATGGAGTATGAAAACCAAGAGAATGAAAATGAAGAGAATAGCATGGAGGAAGCAGAAATTAACATGGCAGCAGAGGACAATGACAGAAATGCAGTTCGGGAGTTAGAACGTAGGCAAGTAAATAGAAATCCACCCCAAAGAGAACCTGCTGCAGAGTTTCAAGGAGAACGACTTATAGTTCGATTGCCGAAAAAACCTGGAATGATCCAAAATTCAGTGAGATATATCCAAATTCAGAATGAAGGAATCCAAAGTGAAAGCTCGGACTCAGAAGCTTATGGTAGTACCAGTGACTCAGAAACAGAGGTAGTTGAAACCAGGAATGAAAATGGTAATTCATCCAGAAACAACACGACAGCAGTTCGCAGAAGGCAACGATATGACAATGTGGACAACTCTATCTGTGTAGTCTGTTTTGAAAGGCAGAGAAACGCAGCTGTATTTCCATGTGGACATTTACATTTGTGCACAGAGTGTGTGGAATCTATTATGACAAGGACAAAAGTCTGTCCCACTTGTCAAAGTTCAATTCAAGAGTATAGAAGAGTGTACCTGTAGCTATGCTGGTTTACAGACTTTTGTGTATGTTTACTTTTTATGCAGTTAGCCAGTTACTAAAGTTAACTTAAAAGTTTCATTTAAAAGTATGCTTTAAAAACTTTTTTAAGGAAGATAATCCCTGTATGAATTATTATAATTTAGAATGAATCTCAAATACACAACTGTATGTGGTATATTTAGGGTACAAGTACTTGTCTATATTTGACTATCTGTTAGTATTTGTTTTATTCTTGACTTTGGAACAAAGAGTTTGTATTTTGTTAAGTATTGGAGTATACTAATTTGTCTGCTAAACTTTGCTTTAGGTCTATGGTTAAGTATTGTTTGCTATTCCCTATAAATTTTGGTACTCCATGGTCACCTTTCTTCCTTAAATTTTCTTTCACACTCATGTCAAATTAAAAAGTGAAATATTTAACTTTTTTTTTTCCAAATTGAAAATGAGATTTATAAGTTTCCAGGAGAAAACATATTAGTATTTGAAATAGCAAAATTATATTGACAGCTCTTTAACATACCCCTGGTAATCTGATTATATACACTATAATTGAACCCTTGAAGTTATTATTTATTGTATTTAAGATGGTAGAAATTAATGGTTTTTTGTTTGTGCCTACCAAAAAGATTGGTGTTGTATGCTTGCATTTTGTTGCATAATTGATGTGAAATCAACAAGAAATTTTTGTTCCAACATATTTAAAATCAAACTTCCCCCAGAGTTTGTTTGCTCACAAGCCAAACTGGATGAGGCCTCAATGGTAAGTATGATTTAAAATAGTAACATTCAATAGTAATATACACTCTGGTTAGTCACCCAGTGGTTTAGTGGTTAGAGCGTCTGCTCTAGAGTTACAAAGGAGTTGATCCTTACATTGCGGGTTTGAATCCCACTATGGGAGGAGGAGACTTGTCCTTTCGGGTGAGACCATATAAACCAAGGCCTCGTGTCACAGTAGCTGCTGGCACGAAAAAGATCCCTCCCTGCTCAATGGCCCTGAGTATAGAGTAAAGGACAAAATTTGTAGCTCTCCACCGGCAAGTGGTGGCGTCTCCACATGAGTGAAAAATTCTCAAGGTTAAACAATGTACAATCAATACACTCTGGCTATAAATGAAGGTTAATAAAACAAAACAAAAAAATCATTTTTACTATTATTGAAATACAAAATTCCCAGCCCTAACAATAAATTTTCACAAAAGATCATTGCTCATGAATCAAAATATTTCTCAAAACAAGTTGGATTTTTATATTAGCATTTATTAAAGTTACATGTAATGATATTTACAGATCATGTATCAATGTTTTTGTTTTGTTAAGCTTGATTTAGATAGTCCACTTGAAAACTCTGACACTGCCAATGATGAGAAATGGGATTTATTGCTGTGCCCTCCAATTTCTGAACCAAATCTGAAACAATCAAATTACACATATATAAGTTTATATTAAACAAGCAAGTGCAAATACTTTCAATATGTTAGAAGTGATATCCCATAGAATACTGGTAATAATACAATAAAACATTAGAATCTCTAATCAATATTTTAATACCATAGATGTTGTTGAAGTGAGTTGGAAACTAGGAAGTTCCCTCCACTTCTTTCTGTATTTATCCTTAAATTTTGTGTATCTGAAATTTTTTCTTCACTCAACTGAGCTCAATATGGAGAGGTTTGATAGTCTGTTTTGTATTTTGGAATATGGAACCGTACCAAGGTTGTAGGCAAAGCTGTCTCAATTTGTTCAGATGATCTCTTATTCACCTAATGATTCACCTAAGCACTAAAAACGTTTAACAGGAAAGTTTTGTTTCTCTTGCACAGACTAATTGATAGGCTACATATACATTTAGTGATTTTTAATTTTTTTATCTTAAATTTAAAGTATTATCTCTATTAAACTCAGTAATTTTTTCTCTAGCTGTTGTTTTTATTGTATACTCAGAGCCTGTAGATTTCTTCTACGTAAAGTATGATTATGTTCATGAGATTGTATCAGTTTTATTTTTATAAGGCTTTGTCTGGAAGAAGAGTGTGATACAGTGTCTCGAACACACGGTTGATATCAGATATTTTTTTATGATCAGCAATACTTGTAAATATTTTATAATTGGTTATTTTTTTATTTTTTTTTTTACTGTTACGCAATGTATAGTTTGTATATAAACTTATTTTCAACTTCAGTATGTACAGCAATGCATCAATATATGCTTTGATAAAAGAAAAAAATATTAATAAGCAATGTGCTATCATGTTTCATGTTGTATATTCTATATCAATATATGTTTGACATATTGTTTCACAGTGTTATTAAGTGCTTTTTTTATGTTTTGAAAAAATAAAGATTTTTAAAAATCCTAACCTTTCTTTTTTGGGTTTTTGTTTCTTTGAAAACGCTTTCTGTTTTCCAGTCTTCTCATTAATATTAGAGGGGGCATCTCGCAATCCAAAGCTCTTGGCTAGGTGGCCCAAGTGTAGGTTCCTGACGTGGAATATTGACTTCAGACTAGAAGGGTATGTTGCATAAGCTCTCACAAAGGACTGGAAGGCTAAATAAAGGAAATTACTTGTAAAAATTACAAAGATTTGTAGAAATTTAGGAGTGATCTACATGCCTTGACATGGAGCCAAAAAATCTTCAATGCAGTAAACTGTCAAAGTAACTTGAAGTGTGCATTTCTAGTTCATGACTGATTTTTATGCATGCACATGCAGAAATGATTTCAGGTAGAGAAAAATATTGCCATACCCGTAGGATGTTTTTCATTTAACCTTAAGTTTACATATGGATAAAGCTTGACTAAATATAACAAAAGAGTATTATATGCATTCTGCATTTTTTTTTCTCAAATCAAACTTGCCATGGGGTTTTAAAGAAAAATTCGGGTGTTGCTAAAACGCGGAACGGAAAACGGAACGGAGAGTGGAACGGAACGAAAAACGGAATATATTATTTTTGGATTAAATCACTGAAAATACACACAATTTATCATAAACGATATATTTTGTACATATTCAATCCCCCACTATTAAATACAAGTTGATTTTGTCATGCTCAGTCTCTCTTTTTTTTTTTACGAAAATCGCATATAGATTTACATATATATTACACTAGCAGCCTGCAGATCTGTAGCTCTCGAAAAAAAATATATTGATAGACCGGAGAGCTACAGTGCAACCCATTGAAAAAACTGTATATTTATTGCGCACAAAAAAGTGCGCTCAGTTCTTGATTAATTCTTCCAAATTCTTACCTCAATTGCAAAAAAGGGAAGGTTTCAAAAAAATCCTTTCTCCTCTATCAAATACTCTCGTAGTTGACATCTGAACGAAGCATATTGGACCGAATTATCTTTGAAACCAAAATGGCAGTGTAAATAAGCGAAATGTTCTATGATTACAATATCAGGGTCATGAGGACTATTAACAACATTTATAAGGAATGTTTGGTTGTGGAAACAGCAAAAGAATATATCAGGAACATACGGTTAGTTATATTTTGAGATTACATTTTGAAAACACGGAGAAATAAATCGAGAACCAAGCGCACTTTTTTGTGTGCAATAAATATACAGTTTTTGCAATGGGTGGCACTGTAGCTCTCCAGTCTATTATTATTTTTTTTTTTTCGGAGAGCTATAGATCTGCAGCTAATATTACACATATAGAAGTCACCTAGAATCGAATTCGAAAAGGGGGGATAAACGAACTTGAAAAGTATTTGACAGACAAAAACACAAAAAGAAACAATTGTTTGATTCGGGAGGGAGGATAAGTTCCAACTCCAACATCTTTCAGTACTATTTTTTTTTTTTACACTAACTTACTACACTAATTACTGTACATTCACAAAAAGTGTGAGGATGTCAACTTGAACGAACATTTCCGTAGTAAAAAGGTTATGACTGGGGGATCAAATATTTTATATCTAAATGAACCATGAAAGAGAAATAAAATGTAAAAAAAAATATTAAGATAATACGTTTATGGGCAAACCTTTGCGGCAAGCTCGAACACCTCTTATACACACTGGTTGTTAAAATTTTATTCTAAATAGAGACATATTCTATATATTTAAATTCTGGAAAGACAAAGTTGGAAAACTTTCATGTGGTAGATATAATGCAGAATCTTTGCTTTCAATGAAGTAAAATTTTGTTTGCGGTACATATGTGTGGTATTTTTTTTTGGGGGGGGGGGGGGGGGGGGGGGGTATATGAATGACCCCGTAAAAAATGAATTTGTTTTCCCGCTCATCGGTAAGGTCTGAGAAGTTGTAATAGTTATGCCCCCCTTTTTGTGTCAAAAATATACATAAGGTTTAATAAATCAATTTTTAATGTGACGGTGGGCCCCTACACAGACCTGAACCTGCCACTCCTCCTTTCATAATTCGCCAATTCGACACTGCGTGCATAATCTGAATATCATAGTTATTTTTGTCTTTACAGACACTGACATTAGAAACAAATTGAAAGAAGGGGGGGGGGGTGGGGGTCAGTAAAAATTTTCCAACATGCAACAAATTTGACAAGCCAAAAAAAAGGGAGTATGCCCAAACACGAATATCCTATTTCGTGTGTGTGTGGGGGGGGGGGGTCGAATTTCTTTCAGTACCATTTTTTCCACGAAAGATGTGTATGACTCATGAATATATAATAGTTTACAATAATTTTTTATCAGAAATGATTTTTACAACAAGAATATTGCTCTTTTATCTGATTTATATCGAATCTATGTTATTTGTTTGACAAAAATTTTCCGTTTTCCGTTCCGTTCCGTTTTCCGTTCCGCGTTTTAGCAACACCCGAAAAATTCTGCACGATAAGCAAACGTGCAAGATGCAATGGTACAATGAAGGCTAAAATTAAACTAAAGTGCACCTTTCCTAGCCAGTTGGGACATTTCTTTATCTTCTGCTACATAATTCTCAAAGGAAAGCTGCATGTAAGTGGCACACTCTTCAAATGTTTTTGATGGAGTCTTCTGTAATATTGAAGGAATCAAAACCATAAACTTAATGTTAAAAATTTTATTTTTTACCTTAATAGAAAAGGACATTTACCTGTATTTATACACTGTTTGTCTTACCCTTTTCTCTGTTTCTGGAATCATATCTTGTACAGCAATAATCAATGTCTTTAGGATGTCTGCCATATTAACTTCTTCCACACTAAAAGTAAAGGTACTTTTGATTGCAAAGTTTCCATGCCACAAGTGTCATATTACAGAGATGAAAGCAGTTGACAAGATGTTTATGAAGATTCAACATCACACTCAGGTTGACCATATGGTTCATCTAACCTCTAATCTTTCATTTAAAATCTTTCTTTGAAGCTTATGTTTGACCAACAGTATGTAAACAATATCAGAACATTTTGCTGGACAAATTTTGAACAAAATGGCCTGTTAAGTTGAAAAATATTATAAAGGAATAATAATCCTTATTTATACCAGATTGAAATACCGTAGAATGACTTTTTGCCAAATGATATTACTGTAATTTACACTATGTACGCTGTCAGAAATTTTTCACAGAAATTTGTCCCAGCTAGCATACATTTAAGGCATACAGTTGCAATATAACAATTCCATGTAATTTTCTACCTGCAAATTAATAAGACTGAGCTTTTTAAGCAGCAAAATTTTGACCCCACCAAAAAGTTCAACAGTATCTCTCTTATTAGAGTACCAATAAACTTAATTAGAGTGTTTATTTTCAACTCATAATAAATACAGTTTGTACATGTTTCAAATGAAAATCAATATAAGTACAGAACTTTTTTGTACCTTATTCCATGACTTGCCAGAGACTTCAGATATTCAACCTCAGCTGGCATCAGGAAGAGGAGGGCGTGGCCCTGCTTCCCCACCCTGGCCGTCCTCCCCACCCTGTGGACGTAGTCTTGTACAGCCCCAGGGGTGGTGTACTGAACAATCCACCTCACGTCAGGTAAGTGTAGGCCACGAGCTGCAACATCCTGTACAGAAGAAAAAAATTATCAAATTTCTGAGAGAATGGATGTGTTCATACTTGTATTGTGTATGATATCTTTAGGTCTAGATTCCTTTTAAAAAATCTTAATATCAGGTTATGCATATAACGAAAATGTCAAGTATATAATAAACTTTAATACATGTACATGTACTTCCAAGTTTTAGTAACACAAGTGAATATCAACTCAAAAGTGAAGCATACGAGATATAAAAATTAAAATACTTACTGTACAGAATAAGACTCCCGTCTTTGCAGCAGAAAATTCCTGATAAGTTTTAGTTCTCTCCTACAATATGTTTATTAATTACATGTAATGTTTGCACAGAAAATAAAGAGCTATCATTTTTGTACATAAATGAAGATTATCTTATGATTGGTTCTTGTAATAAATCACATTAATTAAGGACCCAACCTTTTGTGGCATGTCTCCATGAAGTTTGTAGAAGTCAATGTCCCCCTCCTCTGCCAGGTTAGCATTCTCCTCACCCCCCTCCCCTCCAAAGAAATGACTCATCAGCTGGAAGTGGAATTCTACAGAGTCCTGAGTGGACAGGAATACCACCATCTTTCCTGGGCTACTCACCATCTACAGGGTACAAATATGTTATTAAATCCATTATGATAAATATTAGTCTTCACTTAAAATCAATACTGGACAGTAAACTGTTAATTACTATTTATTTATATGTGAACTTCCTTTGTACGACAATGCAAGTGATCTCCCTTACTGTAGCTGTGCATAACTTTTTGGGGGAATTTATCTCTAAAACTTAAACAAACCTGAACTACATTTATTCAATAATCCCAGGTACCTTAATTTTCAGGAGGATGAATGCTGTGAGAGTGACCAATCTCAGTTTACAAGGTGTGATCACAAAATTCTGCTTCAGTTTTTCTGGCACAACAAAGTTCCCAGATTTGTCTTGCTCTGAGCTCTGAGCTGAGTTCTGTACATTGGATGATCCACCCCCCTCCTCTGAATTGGAGACATCTATCTTGAGTGGATCTGTCAGGGACATTCCAGCCAGCCTCTCTACACCTGGTGTTACATAATAAGAATTGGTTAGTACAGTATCAACTCTTTTTCTTAAAGGATCATTTTAAGTCATGAAAGTAGAGGATAATGTCAATCAAACCTGTCCAAAATTCACAGTTTTGATAATTTTTCAAATAAAGGTATTTTTAACATTCTTACAGTATATTTGGTTGAAACATTCTTACGGCATGTAAGACAAGGACTTCTATCAATTTTTTAAAGGAAATACATTTTAACTTCAAAACTGTGTCCAGGCCCCTTTGACTCTTAAAGTGTGAACAAAATACTCTATCAAAGCTACAGTAAAGTTTACCCTCTGTTAACGTAGCTGACAGCAGCACAGTCTGTCTGTGGCTCTCTGAGTCCAGGGCATTGATAATTTCTCCTACATCCTTCTCATACCCCAGATCTAACATTCTAAAATACCCGGTAAAAAATATTGAAAAACTGTGTTAATTCTTCACCCATTGATGCACATTTTCAACATATACAGTATGTACTGTGATTTAGGATATCCAGATTATATGAAAAAATCAACAATAATTTCATTTGAAATCATTCAAAAATTACAGGTCAAAAATTTGTTGCATCTTATTGTGAAAAAATATTCTTGAAGAAATTTTTTTTTAAATATACAAGAATTTGATTTAAAACAATTCCAATATGTTATATAACTCTTCCAGAAAAAAATAATCCATATCTGTCTATCATATAGGTTTCAAATAAAATAAACCATTACAACAGACCTGTCTGCTTCGTCTATCACCAGCCATTTAACTTTATCCAGATGAAGACTATTAGTGTGTTTGATGTGGTCCAGCAGCCTCCCTGGTGTACACACTAGGATATTCATGCCTTTCCGCAGTCTGGCTTTTTCTGATTTCCTTTTCTCACCTCCCATTAAACATCCTGGTACCACCCATTGGAAAGGCTAAAAAATATCCCATTTAGTTATTTCTACGTATTGTATGATTTCAAAAATTACGCTGGAAGGACAATTTTTTCTATTTTTTTTTATTATATTTCTACAAAAATGTTTAATTTCTTTTCTTCACATATTAAATTCTTTGCATGGATTCAAAACATCCATGAGTATGTGCCAGACAAAACAGAAAAATTAAACTTCTAAATCCCTAATACTACCCTTAACTATGACTGAGATTCACTTACATTGACTAGTTTCTTGAAGGTTTCAAAGCACTGAATGGCTAACTGAAATACAATATATAAAACATTTTTAAAAAAATCTCTCTGGTACAAATGTCACAGCATTTTCAGTACAGTACTTATGAATACCATTAATATATGCAGACTTACCTCCCTTGTGGGCACAATGATGAGAGCATGTACTCCATTCATTCTTGATATCTTTGGTTTGATCCCCTGCAAGTGATGCACCACGGGTATTGCAAATGTTAGCGTCTTGCCTGTTTAGTTTCAAAAGAAAAAGTAAACTACAGTGTAAATACATCAACTCGGTTATTCAGGCAACCTGCTCCTTGATGTTATCCATTTTTATAACTCTGCCATTGTGAATTTCTCATAAAAATTTTGAACCTTTTCATATTCTTTCTTGCACTAATTTAAGTACTTTAACGGCAAGTTTCAGATTATATGTAGTGATTTTACAATAATGAAAGAAAATCTGAAATCATACTTAAAATGCTCCGAAAGTTGCATTTTGGTGACAGGATTTTTTTTTTACAATATAAAAAGCAATGCAAAATAATAAGTCTCTTCTTTAGAGCACCTGCAAGTCAAATTTCTAAAGGTGGTGGAGCTTTGTAGAGCTGTGATTCATAACCAAATAGCTATTGCTTGAAGGAAATTATAATGGAGGTCAATTCTAGTTATTTAACAAGATACTTGATCAGTAACAATGAGACAATCATACTTATCCAAGCCCCAACGCATGCAAGATGGTGTTACCATGTACAGTTACAAAAACATTGGAAAATACTGTTTTAATTAAAAGTGTTCAAAAGCAGCAATGTTACATTTACCTTTGATTTAACAGTACATTTTTAACAGTCCGTACTATAAATAGAACAAGTCTCACATTTGATATTGTTTTGTCTATTTAATTGTAAAAACACCTGCATTTTCCATCTTAAACAAAGTACATTTTGTGTATTTTGATTAGCTTTAGTTATATGTATTAAATTAAACTTATATATACAATAGCTTCATCAGAAGATTGTGCCAGACCATCTGAAAATGATCTTCCATAATTAAAAGTTGTTTCTTAAATGGTTTCTAAAAACTGAATATGGTTTTAAAAAAAATATGAACTAACATGATAAAAACAATTATAGGATCTTATTCATACATGTATATTGTATCACTGTTTATGAATGAAGATTTCACGATCACTGGTTCAGATGCAGAATTATGCTGATTAATAAAGGGACCGTTTTGTGATTAACACAATACAATGGTTAAAACTACATGTCTCTTAGTGAGTTCACTATTCAATGTGTAGGCCTATCTGAGTGAGTACCACTTACTAAGATAGGTCTAACCCAGTGAGTACTACTCACTAAAACAGGCCTATCCTGGTGAGTACTACTCACTAAGAGAGCCCTATCCTGGTGAGTACTACTCACTAAGAGAGCCCTATCCTGGTGAGTACTACTCACTAAGACAGCCCTATCCTGGTGAGTACTACTCACTAAGACAGCCCTATCCTGGTGAGTACTACTCACTAAGATAGGTCTATCCTGGTGAGTACTACTCACTAAGATAGGTCTATCCTGGTGAGTACTACTCACTAAGAGAGCCCTATCCTGGTGAGTACCACTCACTAAGATAGGTTTATCCTGGTGAGAGCAGACCTATCCTGGTGAGTACTACTCACTAAGATAGCCCTATCCTGGTGAGTACTACTCACTATGACAGGCCTATCCTGGTGAGTACTACTCACTAAGATAGCCCTATCCTGGTGAGTACTACTCACTATGACAGGCCTATCCTGGTGAGTACTACTCACTAAGAGAGGTCTATCCTGGTGAGTACTACTCACTAAGACAGGCCTATCCTGGTGAGTACTACTCACTAAGAGAGGTCTATCCTGGTGAGTACTACTCACTAAGACAGGCATATCCTAGTGAGTACTGTTCACCAAGATAGGTCTATCCTGGTGAGTACTACTCACTAAGAGAGGCCTATCCTGGTGAGTACTGTTCACCAAGACAGGTCTACCCTGCTGAGTACTACTCACTCTGTAGAGCTATCTGGTTGAGTAGTGCTATGAAGAGCTGTTAAATTAGTATTTTACAAAGGAAGGCTTGTCTGAGATGTTTTTTTCATCTGATTATGATGACTGATTGGGAGTATATTCGCTGTTTGGTATACCAGGATTTGGTAGCTGTATAATTGAAGACCAGTGACAAAGATATGCACGTAGAACTGTTATAGTATTGTCAGTGGAAAAAGGCATATCTGAGTGAGTAATTTTATCTTCACTGTTTCATATTTTTTTTATTCTTTTTAGTTTCATTTGTACTATAATCTTAAAGGCATTGAAGGAAATTTTAACTTGTAACTTCTAATGCCTCATTTAAAAGTAAATCATCAACATTAAACAAACAAAGCACTTGTAAATTTACAGTTCAGGAATAATCACTAGGTCCAGTGATCAAGCTGAATAAAGCTACCTATTAACAGCTAGAAGCTATTATCATAACAGTTATTGGATTAGTGGTAAATAGCTGCTCTGGTACTCAGACCTGAGTACAAATAACAGTAAAGACTAAAGTCCCTCCTGACCTACAAGATAATTAACTGGTAATGATTGGTAACAGTACAAACTTATCTCAATTATCCGTGCTTCATTGCACACACTGTGAATTTATTATGAATTGTCACTTTAAACACAGAAAATGAATAACTGATGAATAATGCTAAAAATGTTAGTACTAAGTAGGTACATGTAACTATAGATAATTTTACTTCATGGAAGTGATAGTATTACACCAAAACCCTATATGAGTGAAAAGATGAATGATGGACCATAAAAGAATGAAAATGATTGTGTCCCGACCTGACCCTGTCTGTGACTTGACCAGGACATCCTGACCGCTGAGTATTTGTGGAATGGCTCTCTGCTGCACTGATGTCATCTGTGTTATCTTGAATCTCTCCTCTAGATTTGATATCTGAAACGTATCATGCAATTGTTTATCCATTAATTAACACTTCAAGCTATATGTTTTTTTTTTTCGTATTAATTAATATCTAAAATGACTCAGGTTATAACAAAACAATTTTTTACCATGAAGGGATGTAATTCTAGATCTTTGAAATTCTTTGAAGAAAAAATCTCCTCTCTTTTCCTTGCAATAGCTGACCTAAATAAAAAATTAAAATGTTTTTCGGCTTCAAAATTAAATTGTATAAATAAAACAAAAGACGAAATTCATATTTAAAAAGACTTACTTTTCAACATTTGGAATCTCAGGATTAAACCTGAACAAAGAGGATATGAACACCTTATTTTCATTCCTTTCTTTTTTGTGTGGTATGTCTCTCACATCCTCTGGGTGCTTTCTCTTCAAAGATGAAGAAACAATCATAGGAACTTTTGTAGTGTCATATTCCTCTTCAGGTATATTTTTGTTTGATTTTAATGAAATTTCTTTTTCACCCTCTGTTTTCTGAATTGTCTCTGGTTTGTGTGGTTCATCTGGTTTATCTGAATGAAAAGCAGCATGTCCGGATGTGGCTTTTTGTAGTTTTCTTTGTTTTATTCTTGTTCCCTGGGAAAAAAAGAAGATTCACATTAAATTTTTCAACTCAGCATACAGATAAACTTACATGAAAGCATAAAATTTATGACTTTTTTAAAACAAAAATCATTTATGAATATCAGTGAAATAAAATTTTATTTGAAAAGATGTCATCTGATACTTAGAAAGAGGATCGAGATCTAGAAATTTAAAATGTCATTTTCGCCTTTGCTGTTAAGTACATGTGAGCATGAACTGGTGAAAGGGATCGATTATTTTCCCCATATATAATTATTATTTGAGTGTGACAAAGACTTTGATTCAAAATGTGTACTACATTGTTTATCAAAGGCAAACAATAAAATCTCATGAAAAATTATAGATCTCTTTCTGAAATAGGGTCATTTTGGCATGACTTTGGGATTTGCGGCTGTGTTTTTATTATTAGACAGTGTCTGGTTTCTTTCAATGCAGAAAGTTGGGCCAAAAAAATATTTTTTGACTGAATCTAGCTTGGCTTGGGGTAAAAAGCTGAGTGGAGTGGAGTGGAGTGGAGTCGTGGAGTCATAGAGTGGAGTCGTGGAGTGGAGTCTGTATTATAACAATACAGAAAGTTTGAGAACAAAACAATTTCTTTTGCATACAATATCTCCCCTTCATTGTCGTTTTGGATTTGTGTACACTGTACCAAGAATGAAACAAGAAACAAAAGAAGTCCATGCAATCAAAAACTAACGACCTTTAAATGTCAAACAGAGAATCACTTAGAAATGCTTTATGTAAACACTATCTAAACTTAGCAAGACTGTTTGACCTTATTCGCCTATCCCAAAACAGGCAAACCTAGCAAGAGGTGTTGACAGCTTTAATATCAAACAGAGAAAGAGCACTGCACTGCAGAACTGATGACAGCAATTTAATGAGAAAGGCACATTTTTTTTCATTTTACTATTAAAGTGCAAGATAGCCTCTTTGTTGGAATTTGAAGGTCACATTTTTTTTCTGTATCTCTATCTTCTTAACAGTATCTTCCTGTTCTGGTTAAAGTAGAAGACATGCTACAGAATAGAGTGTTAAGACTCGACTGATAAATACATATCAGCCATTGGATCTGTTGAAGTTTAACAATTGACCAGGATTAATTACTAGACTTAAAATAAATATAATTACCGGAATTGAAAACCTCAAAAAGTAAAATATTTATTGAAATGAGCTCAACAACTTGTGTTTTTTTTGTTTTTTTTTTCATTTTAAAGTACACATTGCGCATTTTAAACGATGACACACAATTAACTTTAAATAAAATTATTTTACCCTTGTTTTGTGAAAAGGGAGCTGTTTTATACCTATAATTAGTTTCCCCAATATTTGATCAAGCTTGTTTTATAAATGTGACTCATAACAAAATTAATACATATGATAAGTAATGTCCCCACCCTAAAACAAGTGTTTTCTTTTTATTTTGCTGAACAATGTATAACATGCAGTCTATCAACCAGTATATGTATCATTGAGGCAATTATTTATTATTGATGAAAACATTTTGACAGAATTCATTGGGACTTTAAAAGAATGTTTATCCCTATAGCGATGTGATGAAATGTATTTGGTTACTTCTGATCATAAAGATGTGTTGTAAACTAAGATATTTATATCTTATTGATTAATTATTATATATACTGTAGTTGGAGGGGCAGATATAGTAACACATTTGTTTGTTTTAGTTTGTGTAAGTTAACAGGTGACAACATTTAGATTTTTTTTGCTGACAAAAGCAATATACCACTTGATTCAGTTCTTTTTCAAGCAAATTTTTATTTACAATCAACAACTGAGTAAGCATTTCAAGCGCAGTAATTAAATCTGTCAACACTTCTCGCCTGTTGGGATGGGAGTGCATATGGGTCACTTGGTCTCTGTTACTCAAAACAAAAAGTTATTCCCATTGATGTGCTGACATTTGAAGGTTATATCCTCCCCCATTTTCTCATTCATCTACAATATATATGAACTATTATTGTAACAGTCTCTCAATGATCACAGACAGCTATAGCTTGGACATATAGAGTTGAAAAGGAAAGGAGGGATTGTGTTCGATTACCTGAGTAATTTTTTGAATTCCATAGCTCTACATCTACTATATAGTAATGTTCTGTAGTGTTTCCTACAATTTACCAATACCTGCTAACCTCTACGCCCAAAAGCAGAGTTGTAAATATTTACACAAAATGAGAAATAACAAACAATTAAATAAGATAGTTTTACTTTTAAAAAATAATTTAGATAGAGATTGAAAGCTACCGCATTATATAATACAAGTAAAATAAAATAAAATTGATTTGAATGTAATGATTTTTTGACAAATCATTGAATATTTTGTACATTGTAGCAAACCATAAAATTTTAAGAACAACACAAAGTTGACAACATCCTGCTTGAACTAGTCATCTTTTTAAAAATAAAATTGAATAACCAAATACATTTCAGCACATCGTTATTGGGATAAACTTTCTTTTAAATTCTCCATTGACTGCATGTTATATATTGACCAGCAAAATACAACGAAAGCACTATTTTTCCCCATTACTTATGATATGTATAATTTTTGTTCTGGTCACATTATAAAATAAGCTTGATCAAATATTGGTGAAACTAATTTTGTGACTAATTGTATGTTGTTTTACATCCCTCTTGAGAATTTAAACTCATATTTAGACCCCATCAACTGCGAATGGAGATTGAGCTGTAATTTTTGTCCTATACTCGCACTATACTTGATCATTGAGCAGTGAAGGGTATTTTTCGTGCTAGTAACTACTGCGACACAGTACAATGGACATTGATGTTTGCGTTCTCATCTGAAAGACATGTCTCTATTTAGTCCCACAGTGGAATTCAAACCCATAATGTAAGGATCAGCTCCTTACTGCGCGACTCAGAGCAGACACTCCAATCACTGTGCCACGCGGGTGACAAAACTAATTATAAGAACAAGTTCCTCTTCAAGAAACAAAGGTTAAAAATTTGAAAAATAAGTAATGCATCATCGTTTAAAATGTGTTTCAAAAATCAGACATAGCAACACCAGATTTCAAAAAATATTATCCATTTTATGTTTCACAGCTGTATGATATGTATTTGTCAGTCGAGTCTATTAACATCTATATTCTGAAGCATGTCTCCTAAAAGGGATATATGCATGTAAATATTTAGATATATATGTTTATATACAAAGATAGAGATACAGAAAAAAAAATTGTGACCTTCAAATTCCAACAAAGAGGATATCTTTAATAGTGAAACCTATTTTTTAAAAATATGTGCCTTTATAATTATGTAGTTGTCATCAGTTCTGCAGTGCTCTTTCTCTGTTTGATATTAAAGCTGTCAACACTTCTTGCTTAGGTTTGCCTGTTTGGGATTGGCGAATAAGGTCAAAAAGTCTTGCTAAGTTTAGATAGTGTTTATATATTATGTAGTAAAGCATTTCTAGGTGATTCTCTGTTTGACATTTAAAGGTCGTTAGTTTTTGATTGCATGGACTTCTTTTGTTTCTTGTTTCATTCTTGGTACAGTGTACACAAATCCAAAACGACAATGAAGGGGAGATATTGTATGCAAAAGAAATTGTTTTGTTCTCAAACTTTCTGTATTGTTATAATACAGATTCCACTCCACGACTCCACTCTATGACTCCACGACTCCACTCCACTCCACTCCACTCAGCTTTTTACCCCAAGCCATCTAGCTTGGAAGCCTTTGTATTTCAAAATGTAATGCAAAAAGTGATGTTCTTAGTACAGTGGGAAAGTCTATTAATTATGAGATATATATATGGTTGTAACTATAGACCGTGTATGTAACCTCCTTGAGATAATGTACACATTATTAATATTTCACAATCAAAACGATTTGAGAGGATGCTTTTGATATGATTTTTGAAAGAGTTGAAACAATATATAATGGCTATTGACATTTATATGAGAATATTTACATTTCCAATGTCTTTGTCCGAGATAAAATTACCAATTGTAAATGTAATTGATTTCCTCATGAATGTTTTGGCGCGGTTCCAAAAAAAAAAAAACCACGTGTAGGGCGGGACAACACCTAGAGAGAAGCAGGCTTGGAGCCCGTGGATTGGCGGAATCAAAGCATGTAAATATAAGGAATAACTGTCTTATTTTTCGAATTCATGAAGATGATCAATGGATTGGCTTGTGTGATAATTTTATGCATAAACGCCTTCGGCGTTTATGCAAATTATCACACAAGCCAATCCATTGATCACTTCATGAATTCGAAAAATAAGACAGTTATTCCTTAACAGTATGAGGAAAAAGTACAGTATCTTAATTTTTTGAAAATTACAAAATATTACCCGTTTCCTGCTATATTTCGTTTTCTGTTTCGTCCGTTTTTCATTTCCAACATAGAAATTCAGCTGTAGTGAGTTATCTTCTGACATTCTTTCCTAGATTTGTAAAATATACCACATCACACATGGTCTCAAAATTTTGTGTTTACAAGAATATACCTTTCTTATCTTCAAAATTTGAAGATCGATTCTAAGGGAGCTTACTCTATTCATAGAAATTGTGAAAAAGTAACGTATTATAGGGGTATACATCCCCATATACCCTTTAAAATCAAATATATTAGATTTAAATTTTTATACCCCTATAATCGTAGATTCATAGAATATAGTTTTTGCCTTGTCCGTCCGTCTGTCTGTTTGTCCACAAAAACATATATATGAACCTTGCAAGCTCAAAAGCTATGAGCTACGACTTTCATATTCCGCTAGTGTATTCTTTGTAAAAGGGCCTTTCTTTCGGTACCATTATATTTGACCTCTTGACCTCGTCTTTGGAGTCTGACCAAATTTTGCAGGAATTTACCCATTGGCAACTTTAACCTATGTCATTCTTTCATACATCACATGACACTTTGAGACCATTCAATAAAAATAAATATTTTTTGACCTTTTGATCCTGACTTTAAATGACATTATATTGCATTCGATCCATTTTTAAAAACTTAATTTAATTGACCTAGAACATAACTTTTGAACTGTTATTACTAGAATCTTCATTTTTCACAGGTGTCACTGATGATTCCTCCCGACAAGACCTTACTTTGGATACTAACAGTTTTTGACATTTTAACCTCAGTATGATCAATCGAGTCAATAAAGAACGAAGATTCTTGGAAATGGAAAAATTTAAGCATGATTGAATTTCAAGTTTGTATAGATTCCCTTGACTTATTAACTGGCTGTAGAATGATAATTTGCCATTACCTTTTTCTATGATATTTATTATATCCTTAAAAACTATATTCTCAAAATATTTTTTCAAATTATTTTCATAATCATTTATTGATAATGTTTTAGCATTTGAACCAATAACTTCATCAAGTATAGTTTGTATACAGTTTTGCCAACATGTTTTTCCACTTCCTGCAAGTTTTTCATCCTCTAAATATGCATGTTGTAAGAGTAAGTTTGAATTCTCTTGATCTGCAAGAAGTTTTTGTAATCTATAATAATATCTAAATAATAATTCATAAACTCTGAAAATAATGGGAAGTGCGCCAAACTCTACTCTAACTGCTAAATTAGAAGCTGTATTATGGACCCCTAGAATGTCTTTCAAGATGAAATTTTGAATTTTTTCAAATGGAGTTTTATCAAAGTCTTTTGTAATTTTCTTAAAATCACTTATCCAGATTTCAGAAGCATAAGTTAAAATTGGTATAATGCTTGATTCATATATCTTAAACTGAATTTAAAATCCGTTCTGACAAATTGACAAAGCGTTTGTTCTGGGCGGCCATGCTTTCTTTCCGAGTGAAATCGGTCTCATCCATTTTCATCTATGTCTTTCGGTGCCGCATTGTTTTGCTTCCATGTATGATTTAGGCTATAACAAAGTCGCCAAAATGCATTAAATTCCACTTATTTAATTATTTCCTTTTGAAATCTGAGGTTTACCTCCGTCCTTTCAAACTTTGTAATTCAAATTATGTGTAAAAGTAAAGAAACAAGATTTATTTTTGAAACACTGATGCCCCGTGTGGCAGCTTATAGAGAGGGTTAAAGTTTCTCAAATGCAAGTCAAACTCCAAGGTCAAAATTGTTGGTATCCAAAGGAAGATTTTGTCACAAGGAATTCACCTGTGAAATATGAAAGCCCTAGTATTCACTGGTCAAAAGTAAATTTTTGAGAGAGTTGGAGTATGGTTTTCATATTTCACAGGTGCATTCCTTGTGACTAGACCTTTTTTTTTGAGTATGATCGACCAAGTTTGACTTTGCAAAAAATACCGCAACATATAATTGGCCACAACTTTCGAACAGTTGGTACTAGAGCTTCCGTATTTTATACATATATTATTCACAAGACCTTTCAGTGAGTATAACTATTTTTGACCTTGGCCTTACAGTTTGACCCACTTTCAGAGAACTTGAACGTTGTCCACAACATTTGAAAAATTGTTGTTTTTTTCATTATTAGTATTAATATTTTCTATTTATTTCTTTATTTGTTGCTTGTCAAAAATCCTCGAGTTTAAAAGAATTGCGAATGATAGTATTTTTCACCCACCTACCTTCAAGTCAATTTTCAAAAATTAAGATAATTATTAATATTGATTTTTATATGGATTTTCATAAAATATTGCTTATTTGGAAAAAGCAACGAAAGATAAAATTTGGGTTTAAAAAAAAAATCCTTTTTACGGGTTATATGGACTGTTATTTCACAAATTCATACCAAATCTTTTTGTGTTTCACCGGGGGAGGGGGTGCATATGTTTATAAACATAAAAAAGACAGAAATACTTTAGAATTTTTTCAGCAATTTCTGAGTCCTTTATAACTGTAATATCGTATGTAACTAATATATGCTTAATTTTATATGCACAAAACATAAGAAAGAGATTTAAGAAACATTTATTCATATCTAAGGCTACTAGTATTTCAGAATATGGTGTATTTCGATTTCAGTGGAAAATATCGTTTACACCATTATTTCAAGGGCTGGAATTAAATGGATGTTTTACTATTTAGCACTGGTATTAAAATAAGTCAATTACATGTACCATTGAACTGTTCTTTGTATTAAACAAAGATTTTATGGCCAAATCGTCATGAATTAAGTAGTTGTAAAATGTAGGCGGAAATTGGGGGTTAGCGTGCGTAGTTCTTTGATACAGTTGATGCCCTCCTTCCCCTGACTGGAAAAAAATCTGCCCTTGCAATATGGTCATTCTATCATTAAATGAAATGACGTAATGTTTAAAATTCAAATCAATTGCAAATGGGAATGATCGTATCGAATTTGAAAATAGCAACACAACATAAGATCTCTGTGACATGGCGACACGTCATTTTGACAGTTCGAGTGAAATGAAATACAAGGGTACCCAAGGGGTGACTGGAAAAACCCGAAACCCCCCGATTTTTGGAGAATACCCATACAGGAGGGGTGAAACCCCAATAAAATGGTGGAAACCCCATAAAATTGAACGTAATGGGGTACAATAAGGCCTAAGGTGATGTTTAATTGAATGATATTGACATCCGTAAATTTTTATAGCCAATTTTACCTCAGAATCGACGGAAATCGGGCGCCATTACGAGTTAACCGTACACCACGCCCGATCTAAATTCGAAGCGAGCTGTTTGTCAATATAATTGCATAGATAATAATAAAATAATTCATAATAATTTCCACAATTATATTTGTTTTACAATGATAATAGTAAAATATTAATTATGTAATAAGTATTTAACAAAAAATGTAAGGACGTTACCCATTAATGAAATATGAATTTGTGTACTAATTATTCATATCATCTCAATGTAACCAGCTCTAGCCATGTGGAGGCCTCCTTTTTGTAGAGCCATAATTTAAGATGATTTTAGAGAAATTCTGAATTTAGAGATATAAAAATATCCAAAAGTTTCAAAGGAACAATAATAATTAAAAAAAAAATAGTAATGGTAATTAATTAATAATTACTTATACATGTATGTTAGAAAGAGAGCAAAAAACTAGATAAATTTCAAAATATGAAAATACTGAACTTATTTTTGAGATTTTAGACAAATTCTGAATTTAAAGCAACAATAATAATTTAGAATAAAAATAATAATTACTTATATGTAAAATACAAAGAGAACAAAAAATGAATCATTGTCAAAATATGAAAATACTGAAACCTGGAAAGAAATAGTAAATTAAAAGAATATATTAATTTTCAAATATATAGATATTTTATTTCAAAGTAACCTTTTTCTGTTCTTTTCTTAGAAAAAAAAATCAGATGCTTTAAATATTTCAGTTGTTTACATTTTGAATTGTCTTTATATTAAAACAAATATGAAATAAAGAAAAAAAAAGAAAAGTAAAAAAAAATTACACCACAAAATAAAATAACAGAAGTTTTGGTTGAATTTTAACTATGAAAAAATCTTAGTCTGGACTGGTTGAAAGTGAACTGAAAATATTTGATCATCTCCAAGCATAGGTATTTTATGTAATTTTACATTTCATCGCCAGTTGAATCTGTCGACTAAAAATTTCCATTGCCTCTCTGTTCAAACTATTCCCATTCTCATGCCAAATGTTTTTATTCAAATATTCTGAGATTTCCATATTTCCTTTGTAGTGCTTTATTTATGTCAAAAACCGTAGAATAAATTATTGTACTTTCCTGGATTCATGGTTCCACAATTAAATCATTTGCCTAAACAGACTTCCAATGAATATTTTTTGAACCGAATCTTTTCTTAACAGTTTTTCAAGAATGTTTTGGATTTATTAACACTATTTCTGACACAGAAGATGAATTTATGTTTTTTTCTCCCACTTGCAGAAACACTTTTGTTGGACAAAATTCAACTGCTCTTCCGCGAAAGATTGACTATAAATAAAGCTTTTTGTTGTAGCCAGTATCTTTGTCACTAAAAAATTGAACTCAATATAATTATTTAGCAACGTAAAATTCACACAACCATTTGCTACACTATTCTCTAATTCTAACACATGATTTTGACCAATTACCGCAATTCGTTCTGAATAAGTAATAGATGGAACGGGTGCCTGAGGAGTTGTAGGAATTACTACAGAGGAAGCTCAGAAAAAGTAGGAGTAATTAAGGGAGCTGCTGAAGGACTTGGTACGGGTACAGGTGGAGGAATTGATGAAGCTGCTGTCGGGATTGGTGCTGGATTTGACGGAGCTGATGCAGGACCTTGGATGGGTACAGGGTGCCTTGTAAAAGGGGAATAGTTGAGGGAGTCATGCAGTCATTAGAGATCAGGGGAAAGCACCCTGTTTAATCCTATACACAGAAGACGAAATTACTGACATTAAAACTTTATGTTGCAGTGGACAGACAATTTTAGGTGTTGACAAAACTTTTAATCTTTGTGACATGCATGTCTTTAAATATCAGCCATCCTTTGCTCAATTATTTATTAAGGTTAGAACTTAGAGTAGGGTTAGTATCAGGCAGTATTCCTCCCCCGCCAGACAGGTGCTGACCAGTGAATACTGCTTGGTGTTTTTTTAGGTTAGGTTAGGTTAGGAATATAATTGTTTTTTTAAATGTTGCTAATAAAATTATAAATTCCTTTCTCTAAAATTTTTATAATGTTATTTTATTTTATGTATATTACTTTCATTTGGCTGTAATATTTTTATATTTGAACAAAAGATTGACTAGGAATAATGATACAGTATCTTTAAGTCTTTTAAAAAACTTTTTAATAAAAGTTTTTTTTCAATTTTTTTATCTTTTGGTCATCTTTCGGTTCTTTGGCTTTAATATTTTTCTGTTTCAAAATTCAAATCATGGCTCTACAATTAAGGAGGCCTCCACGTGGGCTAGAGCTGGGAACATAAGGAAACTATGAATATTTTCAGGTATTACTAATTTGAAAGGTCTTTATTTATTAATTTGTCATGAATTATCAAAATTATCAAAATTCATATTTTCCTTATGTGTGTGCTAATGTCCTTTAAAATGAAATTCTGTAAAGCATAACTGTACAATTGAGAATAGTAAAGGTTCAGTGTATATACACATGCCCTTCCAGAGGGGGGTTGGTCAAACTAGCTGGGAACTCAGGTGTTTAAACAAAAGGTGTTTATTATCAAGTTGACCAAGTGTCAACAGCTGTGTATATAGTGCATGTACACACACAGGGGTGCCTGTCTATCCCAGTATAAAACAACAGAGCTAGCTGAGGTGTGAATAATATTCTCACAACAATGTTACAATGCCCACTGTACAAGGATTCACATATGCAACATGCACATTTTTATTATTTTTTATCAGACTTTTTTATTTCATAGACCTGGATTCTAATAATTTCATTGTAATGGATACATGTTGCTTTCTCATATCAATGAGTATATTTTTTTCTATTACCTGCATAAAAAAAACAAAACAAACAAACAAAAAAAAAAAAAACACTCTCTCCCCCCCCCCCCCCAAAAAAAAAAAAACAGAACCAAAAACATTAAAACAAAAAATTAGTAACTGGAAAATAATAATGAATGAATACTGAATTCAAAAATTAATTATTAAACATAGAAGAAAACATATCAAAACAAACACCTTAATTAAAAATTAAATAAATTAACAAATTCATTCATTAGTTAATTTAATTTGATTACATGTTATAAATGATTGGAATTGAGAAAAATTACTTTATTCCTTGATTAATGGACTAGTTTAATTCATAAAAAAAAAAACAAAAAAAACATTCAATTAAAAATTTCACTGTAATGTCTTTCATTATGATAATTACATTAACAAATTCAGTCATTAATTAATTTAATTTAATTACATATTATACATGATTGGAATTTATAAAAATGACTTTATTTCTTGATTAATGGACTAGTTAAACTCTTTAAAAAAATGCACTGTAAATAATTTCAACATGATAAATATTTCATACTTCTTTTATATTCTTAAGGTTTCCTTACAAATAATTTTTAAAAAAATAATATTCATACATAATATAATATTCATATTGATCAAGGTTACAGTAATTATTTCCACGGATTACTCGAAACGACTTCAGCGATCGCGAATTTAGATCGGGCGTGGTGTGCGGTATATCAAGAAAAGAAGAAACCCGTCGATTCTGAGGTAAAATTGGCTATAAAAATTTACGGATGTCAATATCATTCAATTAAACATCACCTTAGGCCTTATAGTACCCCATTACATTCAATTTTATGGGGTTTCCACCACTTTATTGGGGTTTCACCCCTCCTGTATGGGTATTCTCCAAAAATCGGGGGGTTTCGGGTTTTTCCAGTTACCGGTACCCAAGTTATTTTAACCCCTTCGCTCTTTGCTCAGTTGCTTCAGGCTATGATAATCAACCAAGCTAATTTTAAGTTGGTATTATCATACAAGATGGACATCTATAAACTCCGCAGCGTCCTGTGAAAAATCTTCTTTTGATTCAAACAAAGCGATGACATTTAAATTAAACTCGGAAATCTTTGTCCTTTCATCCGCATTTCGATTACATTACGATATTAGTAATTTACTCACTGAATCATATCAGAGATTTAAAAGTAAACACCACCCATCGCTAGGTTTCAATACAGGGTGTAATATCTCCAAGAAAACGATAAAAATACAGGAGAACTGCATGACACTGCGCAGGTTAGAGCGTGTAGGGCTTTTTTCATGGCTGATTTGAGAGTGGAAATGTCGTCTGAAAAAGACGGTAAAGGTAAAAAGAAGCTGGTGACCGAGGAACCCCGAGGTCCTGGGAATGCCTCGTTACTGGCGCTGCTGGCGTTGACGTCCGTGCTGGCTGCCGCGGTGTACTACCCTAACTCCTTAATCGTTGCCGAACTCCGAACATTGATACAGCACCAAACCAACTACTCAGGTATGGCTTATGTTTATTTTTAATAGTTAACGATCGATCTCAGTCTGATTTATCTTGTGGTGGTTAGGGTAAATAACCAAATTGCTTCAAATATGGCCTTCAGTTATAGAGAAAGTAATGAAAAAGGACTGGGTTAAAACTTTAACAGCTGTATGACAAAAGAGAAAAAGAGTCATTGCTTTGCAAAAAATATATACAACCTCAACAAACGAAAGACATTCATTATTCAAAAACGAAATATAATGGATTGGTATAAGACCTAATTTAAGATCGAAACAACACCACAATGTTAATCGATCGTTTGTTCGGTTGAGGTTCTAGAAGATATTGGATGAAAAATATTGAGATAAGGAACAGAATTAAAGCCCAAAAGTCCATAAACAATACGAACCAGGAGCAGAGCAAACACGGACCTCCACAACATCTGAGGTGGGATCAGGTGGATGAAGTTGAAAAGAAAATACATGGTCATAACGAACAGTATTCAAAATCCATTTAAACAACGCAGATCGGGAGCATGGACCTCCAAAAAAAACAGCAGGGGTGGGATCAGGTGCCATGAAGGAGTAAACATTCCCTGCCGACCGGTCGCACCTACCACGTGCTCCCTGTAATCCCTGTAATGATTGGGGGGGGGGATAAACTATTCCTGACCTTGAAGTTTGTAACAAAAATTAATAGGAATTGCAACAATTATAAGGGGTCTTGTTTAGGCCATTAAGAGTTGTGATATTAAAATTCATTAAAGAAACTTCAAAGAGAAGTTTATTAAATGAAATTGTTTTGCAATGTATGAATTTCTTACCTTGACCTTTGACCGTGTGACCTCAAAATAAAAAGTTTGAAGGTCATTAGGGGAAGCTGAATAGAATTTCATAGCTAAAGCACAAATGCTTTCAAGATGTTGCCCGAAAATGAATCAGTATCCCTCAAGGAGAATGAGTCATAAAAAAAAAATCCTAGACTCCTCGAGATATCGTCTGGAAACGAAAGAGTTACAGACAGACAAACAGTAGGACTGATAGACAAACCAAAATGAATATCCTCTTCATCTGAATGAAAGCGGAGGACAAAAAATTCTTTTTGGTACTTATTTTAAGGGAATCAAGTACCTCGAGACTGCTTTGATATCCTGACTCAGAAACCAAACTCTACATCCGGGGTGTACAGGGTGTATCCGGGGGGCCTCCGAAGGGGGATCGATGTGTTGTGTGACATGGAAGTTGATGAAGGTGGATGGCTGGTGAGTACTACTTTGTTTCGCTGTGAAACAAAGAACTATGTACATGTACATGTAGTTAGTTACAAAGTGTACATGTATATATAGCAGATGTTTTCCTCTTCTGTATCCATCAGATTCCAATTATTTAAATTCACAGGTTGTACAGAAAAGATTAGACGGGAGTCTTGATTTCTTCAGAGAGTGGGCAGACTATCAGTTTGGTTTCAGCGATGAAACCAACGAACTTTGGATTGGTTAGAATTTTGTTTTCTTATGCTATTTAAAGGGTTTCACCAAAAAAATTAAATAAAGTAATTATTTTACCGATCTATTGTCAATAAAAACGTTTTATTGAAGGCAATGAGTTTTTACATCTGCTGACAAGCCAGGCTTTATATGAATTACGTGTCGACATGACCGATTTTGATGGAGAAAGCAGATTTGCCAAGTATAAAGTTTTTGTCGTTGGAAACCGGGAAACAAAATTCAGATTGACCATTGGAGGATATTCTGGTACAGCAGGTATGTGAAATGGACATTGGGGTACCCCTCCCTCTCCCCCACCCACTCACACAACTACCAAAGTCCTTTTTTCCAAGATGTCTTCCCCTTCAAGTTCCATTTTCCATATCCCTGTCCAATTTTTCATCGTTTACATCAGTATATATTTAAGAAATCACTGTTTAGTTAGTATAGTATGCCAGGGCATCAAGGATAGTGAGAAACGTGGCATAAATTATCCCACGTTTCCCACTATCGTTGATGTCCCTGGCATACTACATGTATACTAACTAGTGATTCCTTATATTTCCATTTCATTGCGAAATTAAATTGTAAATTAGATTTTAATAATGTAGACCAATAGATTTTAATTACAGCCCAGATAGCAGAATGTTATTGGACCTTTGTTGGGCCAACAATGCTCCTTATGTTGGGCCACCGTTTGCATTCAACATTGGGCCATCGGTAATTTGCTCATCGGCCCTTAATCAAACCAACTTGTTGGCTCATTATGGCGCAAATGAAACAGTTAATATTGGGCCACTGTTGGGCCGATGTATTATTTCAATATTGGGCAAACGTCATTTTTGTACAATTGGGCCATTGTAAGCTATTAATATTGGGCCAACGGTAATTTGCTCATCGGCCCTTAATCAAACCAACTTGTTGGCTTTTTGTTGGGCCAATGTATCAGTTAATATAAGGCCACTGTTGGGCCAATGTATTTTTTTCAATGTTGGGCAAACATCATTTTTGTACAGTTGGGCCATTGTAAGCAATTAATGTTGGGCCAACGGTAATTTGCTCATCGGCCCTTAAACAAACCAACTTGTTGGCTTTTTGTTGGGCCAATGTAACAGTTAATATTAGGCCACTGTTGGGCCAATGTATTTTTTTCAATGTTGGGCAAACGCCATTTTTGTACAGTTGGGCCATTGTTAGCAATTAATGTTGGGCCAACGGTAATTTGCTCATCGGCCCTTAATCAGACCAACTTGTTTGCTTATTGTTGTACCAACGAACGGATATTATTGAGCCATTGTTGGGCCACTTATTCTTTCAATATTAGGAAAACATCAATTTTAGGCCAACGTTGGTTTGTATCTTATTGGCTCTCCATCATGACAACTCATTTGCTCTTGATTGCTGGCCATTTGTCCTCAAAATTGACAAACAAATATATACAATAAGGTTGTACTAGTTTTGTAGTACAGTTTAATGGTAAAAGTCCTTTAATACTATCTATATATGCTATATATGCTAGATTATTAGTTTAATACATATTCTCAATACTAGTATCTCATAGAATTGCCATCAACAAGCATTGCATTGTAAGTAGCTCTACATTAATTAAAAAACTGATGAAAAAGAAATCAAAATATAAAATTAAATTACAACATACTATAATTTTATTGCTCAGTGCATGAAGAAAACATTTAAGAACTAAAAGTTGGTGCTCACTTCAAGCGATACATGTAGGGTTACATGACTGTATACTCCCTCTCTGCTGTAAATTGATGCAAAAGTTAAGTAAATTACAAGTATCAATAAGCACGTCTAACAAATAATCCAAACCCTCATGTTCTTAAAATAATACTAAAATGAATCCCGTCATTTTGATTACTTACACAAAAATGTTTCTGGCATCTGCATCGTGTTTGTAACCGACAAAAAGACACAGAAAAGGGTAGAACTACAGGTATGTCACACTATATTACAGAAAAAAAGTTAGGCACTGCCACTTTCCATCTGATCCCTCTCCTAAGTCTTCTCTTCTCTCTCCCGAGTCTCCTCCTCCCCCTTCTTTTCTTCTCTGTCTGTTTCTCCCTCCCCCATATCCCTGTCCATGGCATACCTTAGCTATTCTTTGATTGTGTTCTCAATGTCTTTTTAGAATCTCCAGTAGCACTAAAATTGTAGTATTTGGTACTTAATACATTTGTTACTTTTTCAGTAAAAAGTAAACATACGATTAAATTTATAAGTATATCACTATATGTTTAAGCTGTCAATTAAGGAATAACCGTCTTTTTTATTTCATGGTGTGATTAAGTGATAAGCTTGCGTGATGAAGGCATTTATGCATAACATTTCTACGCTTGATCATCATCATCACAACGATTTTGATTCAATGTTGCCCCATATAAAATTCATGTATTGAAAATTTGTCGTTACACTGAACAAATTTTAAATGAAAGAACCCAATTTATGTTTAGTACTGAATTAATTTTGTTTTAACTTCAACAAGTTCAACATTTTCAAAATGTTTGATCATGTACTTGACGTTAAGTGTATATAAGTAAATTAAGTGGTAGACTTCTGAAATGCATTCTACTAGACACAAATTTCAATCTAAATAAGGGGCAAATTATTCATTGTTTAAACCGTATCAAAACACGTTTGTTATTTTATACTTTCATTTATTTTTCTTGTATAGAAACAAAAACATTTAATCACTGATAATTTATTTTGTTTTGATAAATTATAAGAATTTTAAATTTATTTTAGCTAGCTTGTATTTTCAAGTAGGATTGGTTGTAGATTTATTTCTGATTGAAGAGACAATCCGATTTGTTAATATACAGATTTGTAACAATTAAATGTTTATACGCATTGGCCCAATGTTGGTCCAATATATTGGGCCAACATTGGGCCAAGGAAGAAAATGACACTGGACCAACGTCATTTGCCAACATCGGCCCAATGTTCTTGTTGAAGTTTCGCCAACAATGTCGCATTCATTGGGCCGATGTTGGTGCAACGTTGGGCCAATATCTGTAGAAAAAACACTCTACATTGGGCCAACGTTGGCCCAACATATTTGGCTAACATTGGGCCGATGAGCAAACTTAAATTGGGTCAATGTCATTTGCCAACATTGGCCCGATGTAACCAATTACATTGGCCCAACGTTGGCCCAATGTTAGCATGCTATCTGGGGTACAGTGTTGACCCAACAGCACCTGGCCTCTGCACTTCCCCGTGTCTGATTTACACAGATTTGTACATAATATCGTTTAAAAACTAAACGTTAATTCAGCTGTGCCGAGGCAAACATATTATAAATACTTACAAAGTGGTTGCAGATATATGCAAGGTATCAGTCTCATTACGCTCGCTCGTGTCAGATAAAAAATGGCGCGGATATTACAAGTAGCCCGGTTGTTGTCTACCCATGATGCTCAGTCAGATTCATGGTATATTGGGCCAACGTAGGGCCGATGCCAATCCCCAAACAAACATTTTCATGATAATAGTTTTATGATATCATGTCAACAGTTAGCCCAACATTAGCGCACCATTATACATAACCAGCTATCAATATTCCATGTTGGGCCATCGTTGGCCCAATCAAGGTAACCCAACAGAATAGAAACATAATGTAAGATTTGGCAAACGATGTTCTGCTATCTGGGAATTATTATAAATAAAAAAGCATAAACACAATTTCAAAAAATAGAATAAAACACTCTTTGGTGCTGTGATCACTTAAGTGCAAATATATAAATTAAAATTTTGAAAATATATCTAAACAAAAGCAGGCATCCAATGATAAGCATGGACAAAGAAAGTCTTCTTAATTATTTCAGAATGTGCCAATGTTGTCCAAACGTAAAGCTCAGAAGCTAATTATAAAATTAACACCATCAATTAGCTGGCAGTATAATAATTGGACCAACGTTGGCCCAATATAAATATCTCATCTTTAAAACACCTAAACAAAATAACACTCTTGTGTATTACTAATATTGTGCCAACATTGGGCCAACATAATACTACCAACTTGATAAGACATTTTCTTTAAGGGTGTATTACAAATATTGTGCCAACATTGGGTCAACATAATACTACCAACTTGATAAGACACTTTCTTTAAGGGTGTATTACAAATATTGTGCCAATATTGGGCCAACAAAATACTACCAAGTTGATAAGACATTTTCTTTAAGGGTGTATTACTAACATTGGTCCAACGTTGGGCCAACATATTACTACCAACTTGATAAGACACATTCTTTAAGGGTGTATTACAAACAATAGGCCAACGTTGGGCCAACATAATACTACCAACTTGATAAGACACGTTCTTTAAGGGTGTATTACAAACAATGGGCCAACGTTGGGCCAACATATTACTACCAACTTTATAAAACACATTCTTTAAGGGTGAATGACAAACAATGGGCGAACGTTGGGCCAACATTTTACTACCAACTTGATAAGACACATTCTTTTAGGGTGTATTACGAACAATGGGCTAACGTTTGGCCAACATACTACTACCAACTTGATGGAACACATTCATAAATGGTGTATTACAAACAATGGGCCAACGTTGGGTCAACATATTACTACCAACTTGATAGGACACGTTCTTTAAGGGCGTATAACTAACAATGGGCCAACATTGGGCCAACATAATACTACCAACTTGTATATACACTTTTCTTTAAGGGTGTATTTTAAACATTGGTCCAACGTTGGGCCAACATATTACTACCAACCTGATAAGACACATTCTTTAAGGATGTATTACAAACAATGGGCCAACGTTGGGCCAGCATAATACTACCAACTTAATGGGACACGTTCGCTAAGGGTGTATTACAAACAATGGGCCAACGCTGGGCCAACATATTACTACCAACTTTATAAAACACATTCTTTAAGGGTGTATAACAAACAATGGGCCAACGTTGGGCCAACATACTACTACCAACTTGTAAATACACTTTTCTTTAAGGGTGTATTATAAACATTGGTCCAACGTTGGACCAACACCAGGATCCATCCTTCCTTGGAAACTAAAGTGAATGGAAGTTGCTTACGTTGGACCAACATTGGGCCAACATAGGAATTCTGTCATGATCGAGAAGGTTGACTTGGTAACATTGGTCCAACTTTGGCCCAACGTTGTTCCTCCAACGCCAACCATACAACCTTTAACACATGTTGGCCCAACATAGTCATGCTATCTGGGAGAGGACTCCCATGCCAATTTCAATAGTCCTCGCCCACTGACAAACACGAAGACAGCCGCACGAGATTGGCATGCATATTTAGCCTCCTAAGCTCCTGACCTATCGATGTGCCAAATTTACATTCCGGTAGAATTATCAAGAAATCAACTTTCAAAGAGTTATCACAGAGAAAAAAAAATTAGAAATGGAAATATTTACATTTACTTAAATTTACCTAAAAATTCAAATCTTAATGTCTGCAAGGCGCAGTGGTTAGGGCATTTTCTTCTTAGTCGCGGAATAAAGAGTTGATCCTTACGTTGCCGGTTCGAATCCCACTGCGGGACGTGGAGACCGATCCTTTGGATGAGACCTTTAAAGTGAGGTCCCGTATCATGGCACGAAAAAGAATCCGTGCTGCACAAAGGCTTTAAGTGCTGAGTACAGGCCGCCATCAGCAAGACAGTGGTGTTTTTTTCAGTATGAATAGAAATTCTCGAAGGAACGTTAAACAAAAATTAAACAAAACAATTTATTCTTTGATCAAATAAAGAAGAAGAAAGAAAACTGGCTAAATAGTTTGCTCTTTTGAAGTGTTTGAGTATGATAAAGGATATTGGGGTCGTAAACCGTTATTAATGCAGCATACTATAGTAATTGGCTTTGCCATAAATAATTTAGCTAGTTGCCATGGTCTTGCTTTCTCTCTATTTTTCACCAGCAATTGTTCTTTTCGTCTCGCCATATGGCTGTCGTTTTATACGCTATACATAAGGTTTTGAGAGATATATAGTGGTCTTAATCAGTGCGATATAACTACAGAATTCCACTAAATAACAGTTTAAACTGAGTACAACCATTAAATGTTCTAATATACATTTGAGTGAACTGTATTTTGGTTGAAGTACTCCGGTATCCGTCAGAGAACATGGAAATATTTCCAAAAAAAAGAGTAAATTCTATTCATTGTTTGTACTAAAATACATGTATATTAGTGGCAGATATCTCTTTGTTTAAAATTTCTTGTAACTATGTTTTCAGTCTTGATTATAAGAATAGGCATATACAAGTAAATGTATATAATTATATTACACAGATCGTAAAAAGAAACCTTTAATTTTCAGGCGATTCCTTGTCTTCCCATAATGGAATGTTGTTTTCAACAAAAGATGTTGATAATGATTTAGCTAGCGGAAATTGTGCTGCCTCTTTCAAGGGAGGTTTTTGGTATAGTAACTGTCATACTGCAAATCCTAACGGACAGTACCTTAAAGGAAACCATGACAGTATGGCGGACGGCATCAACTGGAAAACATGGCGGGGCTACAAATACTCTCTTCAAACATTCAGCATGAAAATTAAACCATTATAAATCACAAACTGTTTTCACTTTTTTTTAAATTAAAGTTTCTTTGAGTTACAGACATTTTAGCTCATCAGAATTGAAATACCAGGGTAACTAGAAATTATTGAAATGCATTTTCTGGCAAAGGTATGGCAAGCCCTTTTACTATTTATTCATGAAATAAAAATTTTCTTTCAATAAGAGAGATATCTCTCTAGCATAGAGAGATATCTCATTAGCTTATAAAGATATCTCTGACTAATTGAGATATCTTTATACCTTAGAGAGATATCTCTTTAAATAAAAGAGATATCTCTTTTTGTAAGAGAGATATCTCTTTAAGCGAGAGAGATATCTCTTTAAGTCAGAGAGATATCTTTTTAACACGGTTAAAAGAGATATCTTTTGTAGTTGGAGAGATATCTCTTTAGATTTTCAAAAAAAAGATATCTTTTTAAGCTAAAGAGATATCTCTTTCAATGAAAGAGATATCTCTTTTCCAGTCATCATTAAAATAAAATAATTAATTCTCCCCTTTAAAACGAAAGCGAAACAGGAAGTAAAATCTCTGAAATAGTTTCGCTGTTATAAGAAAAAAGACTGATCAAGATGCAGTACCCAGAATAATATATATGAACTAATTACTTTGTAGACAAAAATGCAATAAATTCCTTCTTTGAAACAACAAATGATAATGGCAACTTAGAATATCATGAATATGTCGAAATCTAAAAATACTTTAATGTACTTCCGTGAATGAAAAACTTACTTCCGGTAAAGGGAGAAGACATTTCAAATGGAATTTAAATAAAAATAATGAAGAGAGATATCTCTTTATAATAAAGAGATATCTCTTTTGGCTTGAGAGATATCTCTTTTAGACACTTTTGAAAGATATCTCTTTCACTTCGAGAGATATCTCTAAAGATAAACTTAGAGAGATATCTCTTTAACTTTAAGAGATATCTCTTTTACTCGGAAAGATATCTCTCTATGTGAAAGAGATATCTCTCTAGTTGAAAGAGATTTCTCTTAAACGTTCAGAGATATCTCTTTTCATGAAAGAGATATCTCTCAAGGAAAAAGAGATATCTCTCTAAGTTTAAGAGATATCTCTCTAAGTATAAGAGATATCTCTGTAACTTTAAGAGATATCTCTTTCTTATAGAGATATCTCTTAAAAATAAGAGATATCTCTTTAAGTTGAGAGATATCTCTATTTTTTAAGAGATATCTCTCTAAAATGAGAGATATCTCTGTAATTTTAAGATAAAATTCATTTTCCGAATAAATAGTAAAACGGCTTGCCATACAAAGGACTTAAATTTTAAAATTTTTAATTAATAATATTGATTAACAAGGGGGGATATTTCATTTTATAATAAAATTATCTGTAAACCCTTATACATGAAATAATTTGACATGCAAACTTGATCAATTTGTTTTCAATGACATATTAGACGTTTTTATGAATTCTTGAATTTCATCTTGCAACAAATGAATGGGTTGCCAAAAGGAACATTATTCAAAATTTGTTAGTATTTCATTTCATATTCATAAATCATTTTAGAAATGCAATTATTAAAAAAAATGAGAACAAACACTCATTACCAGTATTTATTACACACTTAGTAATAAATACAGGTTTTTTGCATATGCGATATGGCTGACGTCACAATAGCCGTATCAACCCTGCAGGGCTGATATGGATTTGCGGGGCGGATATCCGTATCAGCCCTGCAAATCCATATCAGCCCTGCAGGGCTGATACGGCTATTGTGACGTCAATATCACACCCTTAGTAAATTAAACCACAATAACAGTACTTGTACTCATACACAATTTTTGGTGGGTTCATATTCTCTTAATTTTAACTTTTTGAAAATAAGGTTAATCTTAATTTACAAATACATGTAATATTATAGAATATTTTCAAATTACGGATCAAGTGCATTGAAATAGAAATAGAAACAAACCCAAATCGTACATGTATGTAAGAAGTCCATGCATGATTATTTACTTATTTTCTTCTCAACTGTATTTTATTACTAAGTATGTAATAAATATAATAAAACATACCCTTTTCCACATCACATCCTGTATCAGCCCTCGACCAATATCAGCCCTCTGGCTGATATTGGTGTCTCGGGCTGATACAGGATGTGATATGGAAAAGGGTATGTATTATTCTCTATTTATAGACTGTATAACTAGATATAGTTATTTTGCAACTAATATACTAGTAATCACCCCCTCAGTATTATTCAAAGAAGGCTTTATATATGGACAAGTACAGTGCAGTCACTATTTATTTGATCACACTGGATGACGTATCAACGTTGAATAACTGTTATACATGACCTAGCTATCTGTCAATGTCCATCATCTGGAACAAGATCGCACAGGCGATCACAGAAAACTGACCAAGTCTACAAGATTCGTATATGATGAACAAAAGACCTCGGACTGATTTGCAATCTACTGCCTATAGCATTTAATTTTCATTTAGGGCGTTTGTTGTCCAGTTGAAATGCCAGTTGATTTTCAAATCTAAAAACAGGAGTGTCCGTCAAATGTCACGTGATTATATCTAGCGTATGGTGATGGTCGGATAACATTGATAGAGTGATGTATTATGCATCAGATTTTCATCTTAATTTGATGTGATGATTAATTATAACTGCGATATAAGGAGTTATATAAAGTTCTGCCGTTCACTAATTTTAAAAGCATGCTAGGTAGGATATGCCCATATATAATCATGCACTGTATGATAGGCTTAAAGGCAAAAAAGCGGACATAGGTACGAAAACGTACGTAAGATATTAAATCTAAAATCGAGTCCGTTTGAATATCAGAACACCACAACAATGTAAATATTTTCTATACAGTCTAGACAGACTTTTAACTGAGACGGTAGGCTCAAAATGGACACAATGCTCATTTTCTGATCTTGATAAAATCGCAAAAAAACTCCAGCAGAAATGTTGAAAAAGAAATTGATGGTATAGAAATAAATAAATATGTACGTCATTATATAATCTTTGAGCAAACAGCGTCTCTTCGAGAAAAAAGGAATAGAGAACGTCTCTTCATCTAATTGTACAAATCAAAATATCAATTGTTTACTTGGCAACGCTTTTAACCATTTAAGGGGGTTGGGTGGTTGTAGCCATTTTTAGAAAAAGAGCTCTATCGAAAGATATTAATACATAAGTGATCAAATTTTAAATCTAAAATGTATGAAATTTTTCTTTTCCAAATGACAGTTGACAGTTTAAGATATATTATTTCAAAATTAAGTTATATCTGATGGTTAATTTGTTGACCCCCCCCCTTCCATAACATATTAACCATAGCTGCTTGGTTTTATGATGGTGTATTTCATGTTTTTTGTGTTTTCTAGGTCACCCAAATCAACTAACGGTACTGTAAGCAGTGAGCTCACCAAATGATTCCCCCGCCTCCGATATGATTATAATGGCCATGTTTTGCTCTGGGAGACGCGAAAGGGCGTCAGATCAGAAAGTAAAATTGGAGGTGCAAAATGGCAGAAGTGAAAGTATCATTAAATTTTATTTAGTGGTATAGGAGGAGTTGCGAATAGAGAGATGTCAACTTCCAAGGTCACATTTAAAGCTGCCCAGTGAAAGGTCTTGTCACAAGAAATACACATGTGGAATGTAATTTAAGTCCATAGCACCAGTTTTTCAAAGGATGTGACCAAGGTTAAAGTTTTTAAATGTAGGACAATCTCCATGGTCAATGTCAAAAGTTCAAAATACATGTAGCGGTACCCCAAGTGACGGTCTCGTCACAAGAAATACATCTGTGAAATTCAATAGCCCTAGCTCTCAAGCCTTCAAAAGAGATGGCCAAGGTTCTTTTTATGTCCCCGTAATCGAGGATTCGGGGTATATTTTTTTGTATCAAGATCTTTCCTTGGGTATGAATATTTATTTAACCTTTAGCTTAGAGTTTGACATATGACCCATTATTTTTTATGCCCATGAATATGGCCGGGGCATATAGTGTTTGTCATGTCCGTCTTCCGTCCTTCTGTCCTTCCGTCACACTTTGCGTTGAGCTCTTTTCAAAGCTCCGTTTCAAAGAAACTATCCAAGATATTTTCATCAAACTTCATATGCTGATAGATATTGAGAGCTATGCAACTGCATCAACATTTTTTGACCTTGACCTTTCCTTTGACCTTGACTTTACTTTTCTTACATAAGTGTTTAACTCAGTTTTAAACATACAATTCTAGATGGTGTTATCAAACTTCACACGTTGATACGTACTGATGAGAGCTATTCAACTACATCACATTTTTGACCTTGACCTTCCCTTTGACCGTGACCTCACCTTTCTTTAATTAGTATTTAGCTCAGTTTTAAACATACCATTCAAGATATTTTTATCAAACTTCATATACTGATACATACTGATGAGAGCTATTTAACTCCATCAAAATGTTTTGACCTTGACCTTTTATTTGACCTTGATCTCACTTTTATCAAATTGTGTTTAAGTCAGTTTTAATTAAAGAAATCATTCTAGATATTTTTATCAAACTTCACATGTTGATACATATTGATGAAAGATATGAAACTGCATATCTACAATTTTGACCCTGACCTCTGCTTTGACATTGATCTCTTTTTTCCTAAATTGGTGTCAAACTTCATATGCTGATACGTATTGATGTAAGCAATTCAACTGTATTAACATTTTTGACCTTGACCTTTTATTTGACCTTGACCTCACTTTTATCAAATTGTACTTAAGTCAGTTTTATAGAAACCATTTATTAATATTTTTCAACTTTATATGCTGATACATACTGATGAGAGCTTTTCAACTGCATCAACAGTTTTTGACCTTGGCATCTCCTTTGACCTTGACTTCACTTATATGAAATTAGTGTCAAATTCATATGCTGATATATCTATTGATGTAAGCAATTCATCTGCATCACTATTCAAGATATTCTGAGCAAATTTCACACACTAATACAAATTTTCATGTTGCATTA